TTCTCTAAAGACATCTTATTTGAATAACGATGTATTTGAAAGTGTTCATCAATAGAAAATGAAGATCGTCAACATCTGTGAATGCAACTGAACAAGAAATGGAATTAATATTCTAGAAGAAACTAGTAGAAAATGATCTCGCTAAAAACAGCTAAAGTCGATGGTCATTTTTGGTGCTTTCTTTGATAACACAAATCATAAAAGTAAAATAAACAAAACTGTAAAAATTATATAGAATCAAAAGAACTCGCGTAGAAGAAACTGTTAGAGATGTTACAAGCAAAAGCGCAAAAATTTCATGTTTATCTTCACTTTAAACTTTGTTTGAACATCATATAACAGCGTTAAGTTAATTTTTAAATTACCATCTTTAAACATGATATTTAATAAGTTATTTAACCTGTTTCTTATAATGCATGAAAGAAAAAGGTTAGATAGAAGTTCCAAAAGAATTTTGTATCGGAAACATTTAGCTCAAGAAAAATACCCTCGGCTTCGGTGCACTTGAATGCAGGTTCAAAGTGCACTGCCTAAATTTTTCGTGAAAATTTATGGAGAAAAAGTTGGAAAGAATTTTGAATTACATGATTTTCTCCACATGCACCATTATCTCTCGTCTTCACATCTTTCATCATTTCTCTTCATTTCTATTCATCACTTCTCTCTATCATTCACCATCATCAACTATCGTTAAGACTTGCACACTGATATTTGTGGATATGGTTAAGCGTTGCATCTTTCAAGGTAACAGGCAGGCTTCGAACCGGGATGGCTAGCGGAGAAGGCACAGATGGAGGCCACCATACTTTTGCTGCTGGTCGATGATGCATAACAAAATTTGGAACTTTTTACATATTTTTTGTCAAGTCACAATACAAAAGTTCCGGAATACTTCATGTAAGAAACATAAACCATGTACACATATGGTATAAGTCTATTGCAATATAAAGAAATCCCTAGGTTTTATTTTATTCTACTAACAACACGATGAGAAAGGAAAATAGATCTATTTATTTTACTTTCTCTTACCATCCATTTCTATATACAAAAGTGTATTTAGAAATCCATTGTAAGATATCTCATAATTGACCTTCGCATCTGATCGTCTGCTTACACCACAAACATGATTTACAAATGATCAATGAATTTATGTTGCCCGTTGTTCACTAAACGCACAGGATCATTTGTAGCTTTATTTACGAAGCCGCCAGTGTTCGTACTATTTCACCATTTCTAACTTTCAATAACCATCTTCAAGTTCATAATGATAAACAATCGTTTCCAACACGACTTAACGCTGATAAAATGTGCCAAAACTTTAAATCACCAACATGTTAATGCTTCAAACTCATAGAATGCATGGATAAGCGATTAAGATAACACATGCTTTATTTGATAGGGTGAATAAATTTCATTTAATGATTTGCATAATACCATAGAATAATGCTCCATCGTCATTTGCATTTTACGTATATTTAATGAAGGAGAACATAGCTCTTTTGTTTAAGACACACTAACTATTGTTTTCAGAATTAAATTCAATAGAATCCTGTAACTTGCACATACACGAACAATGAACATCAAACAATCATGTAGAACAAACACATCATGAATGCTTTACGTCATGCATAAGATATTATTCACCTAAAGTTATTGCCACTTTGTAAACTACACGGCCTCATGGTAAACACTTGTTTTTTTGTACGAAGTTGATGAACACGACTAAACAAAGAAAAGTAAAGTTGGTGCCTTATATGTAGTAGACGGCGAGTATCGTTAATTTTCTGCTAGTCACCGAAAGACGTCTATTTGACTCCAATGTGTTTGAACGTGTTGATAAAAAATGAAGATCGTCGACATCTCTGATTGCAACTGAACAAGAAATGAAAGTGACCTTGATTTCGAAAAGCTTATGAAATTTAGTTGAAAATACAAACGCTTAATTTCAAGAAAAATCAATACACACAATGGCAGAGCAAGTGAGAAATCAAAATACACGAAAAGAAAGGAAAAGATTCCTTAGTAATTTGAAGACTACTTGGTAATAGAGAAGAATTTGCAGAAAACAGATCAGTAGCAAGACAAACCATTTATCGACAATTGCAGATATCTTGCAAGAAAACAGGGTTTACCAACCAAGTGAACCTCGGAAGCGATTCTCAACGAAAAATTCTCGTTGACTTTGAAAGATATCAAAGCTGAGTTGCAACGACGTCGATCATAAAGGACTATTTACCAAAACTAAACATTTGAAAGGCATGCTATTTGGATGGAAACTATCACATCGAGTACCTGCAGAGCGCATATAAGACCAGAGTTTGTACAACGTTATTAGGATAATTATACAAAGTGGCATCTTATAACAGCTAAGTTCTTCCAATCACACAGTACTTAGAGATGAATGTTTATCTATAAATATAGAACGACAAGAAACCATGGCTGAGAAGAGAGGATTAAGTCCGCAGTGAAATTTGCTCTCTAAAGCAAGGAATTTATTCGAAACTTGACTATGTCTCCAGTCATAATAACACTTGTGAAATAATCACGACATTCTTTTTGACATCTATAATATATTATGGTGCATCAGTTCGTAGAGAAGCATCAGACTACACTGATGACATCCTTGTGAAGATGCTCCTTCCGCTCATGCAGCTAACTGTTCAGTCCTTTCCAAATAGTTATTAGCTAGTTGTCTTGTACAATATTTCAAATTGCTATTTGGGGAAAAGAAATAGTAGCTGATGGCCATTTTGAAATGTGCTACAGTTCTATGTGCTACGATATTATGTATAAAAATATAGATCCCATGCATGGCTGGGAACTATTAATGTATTGTTCTTCTGTGATAAAATGACGATAAACGATTATTTCTTTCAACTCAATTTTTCATGCTTTCTTTCTAAAATTTACCATTATTAAGTTCTCATAAAAATCTCAACATTTTATAGATTGATCCTACTATAATTTTTGATTTATTTCATTGATTAACACTTACAGAATACTTATTTTTTTATTTGCTGTATTAAAATGCATTATAGTAAATACAATAAATTTTCGATATGTCTTCGTCGATCTGCGAGGTCGAGTGGTTGTGATAGAGGTTTCTCATGTTGAGGTGTGAGGTTCGAATCCTTCGAGGGTCAGTTGATGTTGGGCATGGTGTGATAGACATTAGACTTGCAACGAACAAAGGCCGTAAGTGTGAGAGTGATGAAGTTGGAACAGTTGAGGATGGTAATGTTGTGCACAAAGTGCGCAATTGGCATTTCTCTTGTTGAATTTTTCGAGAATGGAATGCGACACTTAGAAAAAAAATCGAAAAAAATAGGGGATACCCATAAAATTTTTTGGCTGAAAAAAACTAAGTCTTTTGATCAAATTTTTCTATGACTCCCTAGAAGTTAGGGAGTCATATTTTTAATAGTCAAGAACCTCAGAGCAAACAGATCGCTCTTTAACTCTCTCCTAACCTCAACCTTGCACTCAATCCTCAAGCTACAACCCATACCAGCACCGACACAGGGACGAACCAAGAACCTCGTGCATTGGAGGTCAGTCAAAGCCCGTTGAGCCAGAAGCTCAACAACGAATACTAACAGTTTTTGGGCATATTTTGCCTTTTTCTTATTGGAAAGAGATATAAAACAACCAACAACATTGAAATTATCACCCTTTATTACTTTTGGCTTTCAGTTAAAACATGTTTGGCAAATGCCTTCTACGGCATTGATAATAATGATAGAACTTTAATTTTCCATATTTTCCATGGAAAAACATGTAAACACAACGACAACAAAAATATTGTGTTTGAAACAGACCAGCATTTATTACCTTTCATTACTAACGGCTTTCATGCCGTTAAAACATGTTTGGCAAATGCCTTCGTAGTGACGAAGCACTATAAATACAATGGTTCGGGAGGCTGTTCTCGTCAACATTGCATTCGAAGCAAATCATTTTTTCATATCGGGAAACAAGATCAATAAAGTATTCACAGTGTCAAGCATTGTCATGTGGTGAAACAGCACTATAACGCGCACGTCCTTAGCCAATCTTTCAAATTTAAAGGCATCTCGATTATTTAATATTAAGTTCGAAAAACAAACTTAGTTCTTCGAACTTGTTGAACGAATGACTAAGCAGACAAGATAATGCTGGCTTTATTTGATAGGATGAATAAATTTCAATGTTTGATAATTTGCATAATACCATAAAACAATGGTGAATTGCCATTGGCATTTTACGTATATTTATAAAAGGAACATATTTTAATTTTTCAAGTACGAACAATGAATTTTTAAACAATCATGTGGAACGAATACAGAATGATATGCATATCACCAGGCACTAAAATGTTATTCTTTTCAAGTTTTGGCACTTATGATAAACGAGGCGTCATGGTAAACACTTGTCGTTTGTACAAGGTTGAACAAGACTACACAAAGCCAACAAGTATAGCGTATTTATAAGATTATTGGCTGTGCATAGTAAAGTAGTTGGCGCTATACTCGAGTAGACGACGAGTATCGTTGGTTTTTTCTGATTAACGAAAGACTGCTCATGCAGATGTATTTGAAAAGGTTGGTAAACAATGAAGATCATCATTATACCTCATTGTTCCATTTTTAACGTTATTTGAAGATTACACATAACAGTGAAAATCTTTTATAATCATTGGTTTTTGACTATAATATTTGAGTTATTTTGCGCTTTACAAAAATTATACCATAAAGCAGAAATCATGCTTGATTTCCCTTCTTTATTTCAAGTTGAAAACACCCTTCATCAAGTAGTAAAGTTTTATACCTGTAAGGTAGCTTTGTGTTGCAGCAATCGTTGTTTATTAAAAATTCATTAAAGAAAAGTGTTAAATAAAAGTTCCAAAACAAATTGGTATCTTGAACATTTTGTTCAGGAGAAAATACTATCGGCTTCAGTGGACTGCAGGTACTAAACTCTTTGTAAAATTAAGAAAAAATAAAAGTGATATTTCAACTAACCTTCTGTATTCTGTACATCTCTTCCTTCTTTCCCCAATATTCACCACCATTCTTATCTTTCAGCCATTTCGGTAACTTGCACGTTGACTTAAGTGGACATGGTACAGCGTAGTATCCTTCGATGGGACGGATGGGGTTTGAACTGGGACATCGAGCGGAGAAGGCCAAGACAATGACCACCATACTTTTGCTACTCGTTGACGATGCTTAAAAGAATTTGGAACTTGTTTTTATAAAACTTCTTTATTAAAAATGCATAAAAGAAAAAGGTTAAATAAAAGTTCCAGAACACTTAATGCATGGAAAACATGTTGCTCAAGCGAAATACTCGTGGTTTATGTGCACTGGTCGACTGGTTCGGGACTATTCTGGATATTTTACATAACAGCAATCCTTCTTTATTAAAAATGCATAAAAGAAAAAGGTTAAATAAAAGTTCCAGACCACACAAGGCATGGAAAACATGTTGCTCAAGCGAAATACTCGTGGTTTATGTGCACTGGTCGACTGGTTCGAGACTATTCTGGATATTTTACATAGCAGCAATCCTTCTTTAAAAATGCATGAAAGAAAAAGGTTAAATAAAAGTTCCAGAACACTTAATGCATCGAAAACATGTTGCTCAAGCGAAATACTCGTGGTTTATGTGCACTGGTCGACTGGTTCGAGACTATTCTGGATATTTTATATAGCAGCAATCCTTCTTTATTAAAAATGCATGAAAGAAAAAGGTTAAATAAAAGTTCCAGAACACTTAATGCATCGAAAACATGTTGCTCAAGCGAAATACTCGTGGTTTATGTGCACTGGTCGACTGGTTCGAGACTATTCTGGATATTTTACATAGCAGCAATCCTTCTTTATTAAAAATGCATAAAAGAAAAAGGTTAAATAAAAGTTCCAGACCACACAAGGCATCGAAAACATGTTGCTCAAGCGAAATACTCGTGGTTTATGTGCACTGGTCGACTGGTTCGAGACTATTCTGGATATTTTACATAGCAGCAATCCTTCTTTATTAAAATGCATGAAAGAAAAAGGTTAAATAAAAGTTCCAGACCACACAAGGCATGGAAAACATGTTGCTCAAGCGAAATACTCGTGGTTTATGTGCACTGGTCGACTGGTTCGAGACTATTCTGGATATTTTACATAGCAGCAATCCTTCTTTATTAAAAATGCATGAAAGAAAAAGGTTAAATAAAAGTTCCAGAACACTTAATGCATCGAAAACATGTTGCTCAAGCGAAATACTCGTGGTTTATGTGCACTGGTCGACTGGTTCGAGACTATTCTGGATATTTTACATAGCAGCAATCCTTCTTTATTAAAAATGCATGAAAGAAAAAGGTTAAATAAAAGTTCCAGAACACTTAATGCATCGAAAACATGTTGCTCAAGCGAAATACTCGTGGTTTATGTGCACTGGTCGACTGGTTCGAGACTATTCTGGATATTTTACATAGCAGCAATCCTTCTTTATTAAAATGCATGAAAGAAAAAGGTTAAATAAAAGTTCCAGAACACTTAATGCATCGAAAACATGTTGCTCAAGCGAAATTCTCATGGTTTATGTGCACTGATCGACTGGTTCGAGACTATTCTGGATATTTTACATAGCAGCAATCCTTCTTTATTAAAATGCATGAAAGAAAAAGGTTAAATAAAAGTTCCAGAACACTTAATGCATCGAAAACATGTTGCTCAAGCGAAATACTCGTGGTTTATGTGCACTGGTCGACTGGTTCGAGACTATTCTGGATATTTTACATAGCAGCAATCCTTCTTTATTAAAAATGCATGAAAGAAAAAGGTTAAATAAAAGTTCCAGAACACTTAATGCATCGAAAACATGTTGCTCAAGCGAAATTCTCATGGTTTATGTGCACTGATCCACTGGTTCGAGACTATTCTGGATATTTTACATAGCAGCAATCCTTCTTTATTAAAAATGCATGAAAGAAAAAGGTTAAATAAAAGTTCCAGAACACTTAATGCATCGAAAACATGTTGCTCAAGCGAAATGCTCGTGGTTTATGTGCACTGGTCGACTGGTTCGAGACTATTCTGGATATTTTACATAGCAGCAATCCTTCTTTATTAAAATGCATGAAAGAAAAAGGTTAAATAAAAGTTCCAGAACACAATGCATCGAAAACATGTTGCTCAAGCGAAATACTCGTGGTTTATGTGCACTGGTCGACTGGTTCGAGACTATTCTGGATATTTTACATAGCAGCAATCCTTCTTTATTAAAATGCATGAAAGAAAAAGGTTAAATAAAAGTTCCAGAACACTTAATGCATCGAAAACATGTTGCTCAAGCGAAATACTCGTGGTTTATGTGCACTGGTCGACTGGTTCGAGACTATTCTGGATATTTTACATAGCAGCAATCCTTCTTTATTAAAAATGCATGAAAGAAAAAGGTTAAATAAAAGTTCCAAACCACACAAGGCATGGAAAACATGTTGCTCAAGCGAAATACTCGTGGTTTATGTGCACTGGTCGACTGGTTCGAGACTATTCTGGATCTTTTACATAGCAGCAATCCTTCTTTATTAAAATGCATAAAAGAAAAAGGTTAAATAAAAGTTCCAGAACACTTAATGCATCGAAAACATGTTGCTCAAGCGAAATACTCGTGGTTTATGTGCACTGGTCGACTGGTTCGAGACTATTCTGGATATTTTACATAGCAGCAATCCTTTTTTATTAAAAATGCATGAAAGAAAAAGGTTAAATAAAAGTTCCAGACCACACAATGCATGGAAAACATGATGCTCAAGCGTAATGCTTATGGTTTCTGTGCACTGGTCTACTGGTTCGAGACTATTCTGGATATTTTACATAGCAGCAACCTTCTTTATTAAAAAGGCATGAAAGAAAAAGGTTAAATAAAAGATCCAGAACACTTAATGCATCAAAAACATGTTGCTCAAGCGAAATACTCTTGGTTTCTGTGCACTGGTCGACTGGTTCGAGACTATTCTGGATATTTTGCATAGCAGTAATCGTTTTTTATTAGAAAGGCATGAAAGGTTAAATAAAAGTTCCAAATTTGCCTCGAGTATTGAGCATTTAGCTCAAGAGGAATATTTTCGACAACAGCAAACTCCTCTGCAGGTATAAAGCGCTTTGCCAAAACTTTTTTATAAAAATTGAAAAATATATTACTAACGGTTTTCATGTCGTTAAAACATGTTTGGCAAATGCCTTCATAGTGACGAAGCACTATAAATACAATGGTTCGCGAGGCTGTTCTTGTTGACATTGCATTCGAAGCAATTCATTTATCCACATGAAGAAACAAGATGAATAAAGTATTCACAGTGTCAAATATTGTCATGTGGTGAAACAGCACTAAGACACGCATGTCCTTAGCCAATTTTTTACATTTAAAGGCATCTCGATTATTTGATGATAAGTTCGAAAAACAAACGTAGTTCTTCGAACTTATTGAATGAATGGTTAAGCAGACAAGATAATGGTTGCTTTATTTGATAGGACGAATAAATTTCATCGTTTAATGATTTGCATAATACGACAAAACAATGGGAACATACTTCTTTGTTAAGGAACACGACCTATTGTTTTTACGATTATATCTAATATATATATCCGGTAATTTGTTCAAAACAATCATGTGGTACAAATATTGGGTAATATGCATTTTACCATTCACTAAGATGTTATTCTCTTCAGGTTTTTGGCACTTAAGAACTACGAGGCGTCCTGGTAAACACTTGTCGTTTCAAAAATGTTGAATAAAACTAGATAAAGCCAACAAGTATAACGTATTTAAAGGATTTTTGGCTGTGCAAAGCAAAATAGTTGCCGTAATAACTGGAGTAGACGACGAGTATCGTTGCTTTTCTGCTGAGTGCCGAAAGATGTCTGTTTTGATTGCAGACGTATTTGAACGTGTTGGTAAACAATAAAGATCGTTATTATGTCTGTGACCGCTACTAGACAAGAAGTGGAATTTATGATTTCGAAAAAACTTGCTAAAGTCAATTGTTGTTCCTGTGGTTTATAATGATAACAAATCACGAAGGAAAGGTCGCCAAAATTTTAAAAATTAGTAACGAAAGCAATAGCGCTTTCATTCTTTATAGGAACTAATATAGATGCTATAACCATAAACTGAACATTTCATGGTTATTTGCATTTCAAACGTTATTTCAAGATTATACTAAAGTGAGAATCCTTTTATAATCATCGGTTTTGACTATGATACTTCAGACATCTCGCCCTTTATATATTTAAATCCAAAAATCAAAAATTGACTCTGGCTCCCTCCTTTATTTTGAAGCTGAACACACCCTTGATCAGCTAGTCTAGTGCAATGATAGTTTGGTGTCACTGCATGATATTTGGGTTCAATAACTATATGGTACTTTCGTGTTGCAGCAATAGCTTTTTATATTAAAATGCCCAAATGAAAAGGTGAAATAGAAATTCCAACTTGACATGGTATCAAAAAGGCTTAGCCCCTGCGTAACGCGTGTACCTTCATATTGCGTCTGTCTCATGGTTCAAGACCATTCTAGTAATTTTATGCAGCAGTAGTAGTTATTTATTAAAACTACACGAAAGAAAAGTGTTAAATATAAGTTCCAACATTTTTAAGTATCTTGAACATTTAGCTCAAGAGAAATACTATAGGCTTCAGCGCACTTGCCTGCGGGTACGAATACCTTTGCCAAAATTTTTCATAAAAAAAATTTTAAAGAAAATAAATGAAATATTTCAATGAAAGTACTTACTTTCACATGTTTTCTATCATCTTTCTCCATCATTCAACGCCATCCGTCATCTTCAAGACACTTCTATGATATGCACGTTGACTTCAGGGGATGTAGTTAGGCGTAGAACTTTACCATGTGACAGACGAGGTACGAACTGGGACGTCGAGCGTCGAAGATAGGGCCGGTGACCACCATACTTTTGCTGCTGGTTGATGATGCATAAAAAAAATTGGAACTTTTTACATATTTTTTGTAACATAACCATACATAAACAACATGATACTTCATGTAAGAAACATGCAACGTGTCTATATATATATATATAGTTAGTATATCTTTTAAGATTTGTATTTTTGTTTTTTGTAATATAAAGACATGTCTTCCTTCCCATTTATTCTAAAAAGAACAAAAGTGCAAGAAGAGTCAGTCTTTACACTTTTACTTTCTCTTACCATGAATTGAACTATACATAATGTATAGTTGGAGATTCAAAGTAAGGTGTGTGATGACAGACCATCGTTTTGATCATTTACTTACGCCAAACATAATGTGAAAATGATTGATGAACTAAGTCAATGATAACTGTTCACCATAGATACAGAACCATATGTAACTGTATATATTCACACAGTCAGAGTTGTTCTCACAATTTAACCATCACAAATTATGAATAACCATTTTAATTTTTATAACGATATCCACAAGTTTCCAACAAGCCTCAATGTTTATCATAAGTGCCAAAACTTGAAGCCATTAAAATTTGAATGCTTCCAACTGACAAGATGCTTGACTAAGCAAATAAGATAAAGTTTGCTTTATTTAATAGGCTGCATAAATTTTATATTTAATGACTTGTGTATTACCATAAAACAATGGTTAATTGTTATTTTACGTATATTAATGAAAAGAGAACACTGTTTTTTTGTTAAAGAACACTACTTATTGTTTTTACAATTAGATTTGATAAATATCCTGTAATTTGTTCAAAACAATCATGTGGAACAAATACATTATGACATACATAGCATCATGCATAAAGATGTTATTCACTTCAAGCTTTTGGGCAGTTATGAACTATGAGGTGCCATGGTAAATACTTGTCGTTTATACAAAGTAGAACAAGACTACACAAAGCAAACAAGTGTAAAGTATTTAAAAGATTTGTGGTTGTGTAAAGCAAAGTAAATTTGGTGGTTTAACCAGAGTGGAAGTTGAGTATTGTTTACTTTTTCTTCATTACGAGAAGATGTCTCCAATTGACCAACAAATTATGGGATTTGTTTGACTTAGCAAGGAGCAAGCAGGGCAATATTTTTGAGTTTGATTAACCTGAGTAATCAACTATAAAATGTTTTATCAAAATCCGAGAGAAATAAATTTATAGTGAGTCAGTAAACGTTAGATAAGTTTGAGTTATTGGGGTTCAAGTCAGAAATGAAGAAGATTTAGGTGATGAATTATTCTTGGTGTGAAAATTATCTCGTGCCCGCCATTATTAGCCATACATGTAAACATTTGTTACCCTCTTGAAATAATGCATGTTTTTTATACTTTTTCTAACTTTTTTTCCAATTTTCTAGCATGTTCAAAAAGTTACGCAAGATCTATGATTTACGAAAATTTAGTATAGGTAATTTTATAGTTTCCGAGGGAAATTATGGATAAACACGCACGAGGGAGTTTTTTAAAGCAAGTCAAAGGAAGAGTTTGAGCCGTTAAAAATGAGCCTTAAATTGAATTTCTTACCATAATTTCACTAGAAACTATATACTAATACTTGGTAATAATATTTTTCGACATATTTCGCAGAACGCTATCTTGCTCTGGCCGAGACTGTCTCGCTTCGTAATTCAGGAATTAGTCTTTCTCTATTGCTACAAAAAAGCCTGGTTGCGTGTCCCAACTATTATAAACATTCCCCAAAAAAACATTACCTGCTTTTGTGCTTTATTCTTTGCATTGTTCTGTAATTCTCGAACTTCACACCATTGAAATTGTGGAAGTCGTTTTGCTTACAAATGCCGCCATGTTTCTTGTTGAATTGAAAAAGTAAAAACTTGAAAAGAAGCGCTTGTTTGACTTTCAGTCTTTTCAGCCAATCAGGTTACAGTATTTACAGCTTACCTACAGTTACTTGCAGCAACTGAAATTACACTTTTTTCACTGCAATTAAATAAGATAAATAAGATAAAGTAAGATTATTTACTATTTTTCTCTAATTTTTGCCATTAGGGTACGATTCATGCAAACGCGTTTCGACATTTTTGATTTTTTATTGTTACATTTTTAGATGTTTTCTTTTAAAAAGTCAGCTAATGTCAAGGAAAAAGAGTTTGATCTTAGGATACATTGAAAATCTCGTTTTTGACTTCCTTTTCATTGAATCTCTTGTCTTAGCGTTTCCACAAAAATTCATAAGCAAATGGCGAAAAACTATCACTTAATATGAAGGATGAAATTTGTCAAAAAACTTCAAAAAAGTGTGTTGTTTGCAGCTTGCACATGTACGGTTGTAAACAAACTGAATTGCTCATGCGCAACTTTGTTGCAGCGAACCCTTTCTTTCTCTCATCAGTGTGTCTCTCATGGTTTCCTCTCGTGTGGAAATCGCGTGGATACCGCGTGAAAAGGTCATCGTGATTCTCTCTATTCGAATTTAATTTTGATAATAAATTTCTATTTCAATGAATAATTGATGAAAGTGTTGCCATTTTTCAGTTGGTTTCTTATTTCTAAACTCCTACGCTATTGATATTATTATCTTGTATCAGCTGCTTTCTTTGACCGTTGAGGATTTTGCTCTGCTACCGGAAAAGAAGAGACATTGAATCTCAAACGTCGAGAACAAAGTTACTAAGCATGTTGTTTTCAATATGATTAAATGGCTGGTACCTTTCGATCACAATGGCTTCAGAAAGTAATGATCATTATGAGCTCTTAGGCAACAGTAGCGGAGACGACAGCAAGAAAGATACAGGTAAAATTTATGACAAACTTCGGTCTGTTTACATCTTTCTTTTTTCAAGCCAAGTGTCATGTAGCTCTTGTTTTGTTATATATTTTGAAAAATTTTTAACTTCTTTATTGGATGATAATAAACAATCAAACGGTTTAACGTTTCGAGATCTCTGGTAGTGCGAGCGAAGCAATATTAGAATTATACGAGATGGATTTCGATGGTTTTATTAAAGATTAGTATACGAAAATTTAATGAGCTTAATGCGTGTAAGTAGTCTGATATTTACTCCACTTAGAATTTACGTAAATCTACAGTTCCCTATAATGTGATATTGTACTAAACACAAATTCTTTAAACATAGATACTGTAGTATGGGTAGTTGCATACAAAAGCCAATATCATCTTTATGCTATTAGAAACCATACATTAAACTTAATTGACTTAAAGTTCTCAACGTAGTGTGAGTGACAACGATTCAACTATATAAGAATTTAGTACGTCAACACACTTTCACTGTTTTTTTATTCCTTAGAAAATTATGTATTTGAATGTCAGGTTTTACAGTAAACTAAGAGCTTTTATATCACTTTTATGTGTGTCTAAATTATGTTTGAAGAGTTACTGGTAAAATGAGAATTTGTTTAGAAACACTAAGGACGTACTACTGAGAATCTACCTTTACAGGTGAACATGCCACAAAGAAATCTAACAAGAACTCTCCACAAAAGGTGGGCTGGCATGGATATGAATAAAATTTAATATTGATGCATATATCTCTTGGCCCATATGTAATGTTTTTTCGTCTATTTCCCATAGGATGCAGGATGTATAATTGAAAATAACTATCCATGTAGCGTGTGGTTCATCTTGGGAAATGAAGTTTGTGAAAGATTTTCATATTATGGCATTCATGGTAGGCTGTTTTCTTCCTTTCATATGCATTTGAAACATTTTTTATTCTTGGTACTGTGGTACATTGACCTTAATGAGGGCAACAAGCATTTCCCTTCTATATACACTTGACATCGTATTCATCAGGTTGTTTCTTTTGCCATTTAACTATACTAACTCTTTCAACATCTGGAGTAGCCCTCTGCTTTGAACTTTGTACTCAGTGTGAGTTTTTTTGTTCATCATTCATATATCAGAACAAGTTTTGCATAATTCTTGATATATTTGGCACAGATCCATCTCACTCTGTTGCATTTCTTCTTCCAATGAACATTCCCTAACTCTTTTTCTCCAAAGCTTCGCTCATTACACTACTCTTCATTTACTTGACATTTCTCCGACATCTTCCATAAAAGATAAAGATATTTTGCATGAGGTTATTCATTATCAACACTTGCCTAACTCTGTATCAACTCACTTTTACGACCATGATGGTGGTTACAAACATCTGAACCATAACTGTATCCTCTTTTACAAGTTTAACACTTTCCTTTCACAGTTTCCTTGAAACTCTCTCAATTCAACTCTACAGTCCAACAAACCCAATTCGAAGTTCTTTTTTCAGCATCTTCATTGTATGCTCCATTAACTTAACGTTTACCGAGCTCATCGCAACAATTTCCTTTAAGTTCTGTACCATTTGACATTAGTGCGCCTTTCACTATCTCACAAGGATGAGGGAGAAGTTTTGATGGATTAAATTATTTATTTCAGCAATACTTGTCATCTATCTTACTTCAATGCTTCAGTTGTCTGATGAACGTGCAACGTCCATCTATCATGCCTTCAACATGTTTTGCTACTTTAGTCCTATATTTGGTGCCATATTAGCGGACAGCTTTATAGGAAAGTATAGGTAAGGACTAGAAGCAAAACGTATTGTAGCTAATATCTAAGTGAAATCACAACTTCTTCAGATAATGTATGTTTGTATTTCTTTTTCTAGGACAATACTTTATGTGTCTATTGTATATGCAATTGGAAATATTGTTGTAGCTGTTACTGCTGTACCATCTATCCTGGATAAAGTCAAATTGTAAGTGTTCTTTCAATGCTGAGAGTGTTTAATGATAAAGTTGTCATCTTTAACGCTATCATAAGGTTCGCAGAGTTGTTAAATTTTGCGTACGTACAAAATTCCCTCTAGTCGTTTAAAATATCGTTATCATTATTTAATTTTCTTTTCTTATGACGTAGGAGCGGACCTCTTATAGGTCTCTTTCTCATAGCGTTGGGCACAGGCGGAATAAAACCATGTGTATCTGCATTTGGTGGCGATCAATTTGGACCGCATCAGGTGAAGAATATTGTTAATATTTTTTTTCGAAAAACATTTTGTTTTCAGTGTTGCTTCATTTTTTAAAATGACACTTGCATAACGAGAAAGGGGATCAAATTTGAACTTATATATCTGCTATATATTTTCTTATTTGGATCATGTCTGTTCCATTTTACGGAGCATGTAAAAAGTTTAGGATAACTGTAACAGCAATGAGTATTATTTGCCTGTATGGAAAAGTGTAGTACTGTGAAAAATATAGTGGCCCAACTTCATATTTTAAAGATAGCCATTTGATGCAAAAGTAAGATTTGTATAAATAGTGACGTTTTGTATTTGCTTAAAATTCTGCAGTAATCTTCGAAATACGTCAACAAACTTTGTAGGTTTCCTAGTTAATTGTCTTGTTGCTTCTGAATCAGGGGTCATATTGAATCTCTCTGATACTTTAATGAATCAGTTCTCCATATTTTTGTAGATCACTTACCGTTTTTTTCTCCCATATCTAGCAACATCTCCTGGAGAGCTTTTTCTCCATCTTTTACTTCTCAATTAATTTTGGAAGTCTCCTTTCTATGATAGTAACACCAATACTAAGAGGTGCGTAATAATTTTATTTTAAAGTGGCTTGGTGTGACTGGGTTTTCATCAAGTTCGAAGGGCGAAGATTTTCCTTAAAACTCCTCTTTTATCCTTACAAATTTTGTACAAATTTAATTACATAATATCCGTATCGAACGTTTCAACGAAACGAATAGATTTCATACATTACAGGCGGCAAAAAAACTGCTCAATCTTTGCGACGAATAACAATTTCCTGACTATAAATTTTTCCTTATTCACTATACAGGCGATGTGTCTTGTTTTGGTAATGACTGCTACACTCTGGCGTTCGGTGTTCCCGCCATGTTGATGATCGTTGCGATAAGTAAGTTGTTTTTGTGCGCCTTTCATGCTACTATTAAGCTGAATTTATATAAAGAGAAAAATCTATCAGCTCAGCTATTTTGAAGCCGGTAAGACTTTGGATAATTTATTTCAATTGTGAAGTCTCGAATGGATTTTATTAAAGTAAATGGTTTGAAACCGGGAGTATCGTTACATGTTTGTTGATGTAGATCGTCCAGGTTAGTAAAGTCCTGAGAAGGACTGTTTTTGTTGTTGTTGACTGACGTTTCGGCGGTAGTCATCTTTTTTGACTATGAAGATGACTAACGCTAAGGTTGTCGAAACGTCAGTCAACATCAACTACAAAAATAGTCCTTCTCAGGACTCTTGGACGATCTACATCTACAAACAATGGATTTTATTATTCTGTTGAAAATCCTCCTTCATCCTCTACCTCGACTTCTTCATTTTTTTTATTGTTCTTTTGTTTTTGAGAACAATTTATGCCATGAACATATTTTTGTTTCGAAATTTTATGCATTTGCACGCTTTTGTAGAAACGTACATCACACTACAACGCTATACGGTGTGCGTTTCTAATTGAAAATGTAACGCTTTTACTGCTTGGTAAGAGCTTACGATTATAAATTTTACATATGTAGTGCAACGCGACTTTGACGCCATTCATTTGGCAGTTTTAAGTGCTTTTTAATGGAGAAATACTGCTTCTTTAGTCGTTTTTATTGCTGGAACTCCGAGGTACAAGAAAAATCCTCCTGCCGGCAACATCGTCGTTAAAGTAATTTCCTGTATATTTGTAAGTAAATAACACTTTTTCTCGTAATTTTATTTGCTGAATGCACTTGACATGATGCATTGCAGCCCTTTTCTCGTGTTTTGATTTCACAAAGGATATGTATTCGAAAGTTGAACATTGTGCAAATTAATAATATTGAAAAGTACACAAAAACCACAGATACGTGAGGTATTTTTGTGTGTTTTTTTTTTAACCGACTAGTACTTGCATGTACTATAAAGAACTCAACAAAATGTAAGTTAGCACTGTGAACTACGAAGGCTAAAAACTGAGTCGTACGATTGAAAAGCATCATGTTGCAAGGTACAAATTCAACCGCTATAGCTACTTCACGAAATGGTTGTTGAAAATCTCACGGCCAAAATTATTTCCCCGAGCCGTCAATAATTTTAACGGTTATCTTTATTGAATAGTATGCGACTCGAAAACGTTTTAGTAGCGTTGGTAATCGGGCGACGAAAGAGCATTGGTTGGACTCAGCTGAAGAAAAGTACGGGGTGCGTAGGTAGTTTTGTAAAATATTTTATATAGTTATATACACATTTACGCGTGCAATCTTTATACAATCTACCTCTTGTCAATGACATTTTTAAAACATTGTTCCTTAGTTGTTGTTGATAGTTGAAAAAACAAACTCAAACCGTTTCTTTTTCTTTTTCGTAGAGGAAAATGATAACGGACGTGAAAGCTTTACTTCGAGTCCTTTTTATGTTTTTGCCTCTTCCGTTATTTTGGACGCTGTTTGATCAACAGGTTGAAATTATTTACGTATCCTCGCGTAGATTCTCTGCACAATCATTCTTCTCCCCGTCCCATAACTACTCGAATTTACATGCATGCGAATATATCGTTATGTTTTCTTGATGGTCTAGGGCTCTCGGTGGACTCTGCAAGCAGAATTGTTAGACGGACACGTTGTAAGATCTTTACATAATCAATTTCTATATTGTTTATCATGGCACAACTAAAATACCTTCGTTTAACTTCTCTACAGGGTGAATTACTGACGGTTAAACCAGATCAGATGCAGGTGGGCAGTTGATTAGGCTATTAGCTAACGCTCTGTGCTCGCTTTGTAATGTTCTGCTATAGCAATTTGAGATGTTTAGCTAGAACTAGGAGTGGATTTTTACCCAAGCTATGGGGGTTACTTCAAGCTATATCGACACAGTGCAAGCTTATGCAGAAAGAATAACGACTTTAATTCTTACACTAATATTTTATATCTTATGCGAAAGTTGTTTTGCATACCCATTTAAAGTTGTAAGGCTAAAGATTTTCCCCTTAGAAGTATATTTTTTATTGGATTTTTTTTAGGCTCTCAATCCCATCTTCATCCTTGTTCTTATACCAATATTTGAAAGAGTCGTTTACCCTATTATGAGAAAGTGTGGCTTTGCTCTGAGGTGAAAAAGTCGTTGACCATTCTACTGTATTATATAGGGGTATACTATAAGGGTTGTGTTTGAACTCAATGAAGTCATATTTGCTGCAGTATTGCTTAATAAAATGGTCTACACCAATAGTCTTATATCAATTGTTTACTTTTAGACCTTTGCAAAGAATGTGTTTTGGAATGTTTTTGGCCAGCGTCTCGTTCGTGATGGCAGCGTTTTTACAGCTTCGTGTGCAGGTACAAAAGCCACTCGTTTACATTTCATGTCTTTTTATCGACGATCTTATACTTGTGACACTTGGCTTGATATCTGTCGCTTGACGTCAGTTGATTTCACGTGGATACCTAACTCAGTAGATTCATCGATGCGTGGTTATATAGGAAAGATCTATATTTTTGTTATGTAATGTTTTTGCCATCGTTTTCAGGCTACTTTTTACAAAATGCCCGACGCTCGCAATGGCCAATCAAACTTGAGAATCATCAATGCAGCTAGATGCTCTCTCAACGTCACATTTCCAGAAAATTCACCCGTTTTTCTAAAGATCCCTCAAAGATCTGTAAGTACATTGACGTACACTTATTTTTTGGAAAAAATCTGCCATCTTCTTATTCCAATTTGTCATTATATCCTTGCTTATTGTCCATTTTTTAGGCAAGCGGTTACATATTAATGCCAACACACGTCAAACGCATGCGTGTGAAAGCGGATGTATGCCCTAAATCGTCCAATCTGCCTAACTTTGACAGTAGCAATGAGTTTGCTTTGTCCTTGAAGTCCAAGAAATGTTTTGAATTCGTCGTCTCAAATGACCTTAGAAAGTTTTCTGGTAAACAATTGAAAGTCAAGTTTCTGAATAGAATAAAGAGTGGGACGTCACGTGTTAGGTAAATATGGGTAAACTGGGACGTTGGATGTAGGGTAAACATGAATAAACTGGGACATCAGGTGTAAGATAAACAAGGGTAAACTGGGACGTCAGGCGAAATGTAAACGTGGGTAAACTGGGACACCTGAGACATCAGTTCATGTTTAGTTCACGAAATTAATATTTCTGTGGATTTCATTGGTTTGTTTTCACTAGATTCATCCATGCGGGTGCTGCTGTTTTTCCAAGTGTTTCAGTAATGCTTAATGGCAGCCTTACGTATAATTTGACAAAATTGGAAGCGACTCGCTTCGTCAAATTAAAGTCGCAGAGGTTTGTAAGAGATTTGTCTACGTAGTTTTAATGTATCTCTAAAGTATTGTTATCAACATTCAAATTTCAACATGACTTCGATTCCTGATAAAAACACTAGACTGGAGTATATAAGAACTCAAGTTTCAACATCAGATTACTCCTGATGAAGACACTAGACTGGAGTATATAAGAACTCAAGTTTCAACATTAGATCACTCCTGATGAAGATACTAGACTGGAGTATATAAGAACTCAAGTTTCAACATCAGATCACTCCTGATGAAGACACTAGACAGGAGTATATAAAAACTCAAGTTTCAACATCAGATCACTCCTGATGAAGACACTACACTGGAGTATATAAGAACTCAAGTTTCAACATCAGATCACTCCTGATGAAGATACTAGACTGGAGTATATAAGAACTCAAGTTTCAACATCAGATCACTCCTGATGAAGACACTAGACAGGAGTATATAAAACTCAAGTTTCAACATCAGATCACTCCTGATGAAGACACTAGACTGGAGTATATAAGAACTCAAGTTTCAACATCAGATCACTCCTGATGAAGACACTAGACTGGAGTATATAAGAACTCAAGTTTCTACATCAGATCACTCCTGTTGAAGACACTAGATTGGAGTATTAAGTAGTTCGTTTTTCAATAAGACTTTATCCTTTAGGTACAACATAAAGATTCTTGATTCAGATAACAACGTTGTTCAAAAGGTGTGCTGAATCATTTATACATTATATCATATTGAATGATTCGATTGCATTATGATGATAGTTGAAGAAGTAAATGTTTTAGAACCTTTTATGAAAATTTCGTGTATAAACGTTTTTGATCAAAATTGTCTCGTTTAGAAAAAAGTTGAATTTCAAAATAGTGGAATGTATACTGTGATCCTGCAGGAAAATCCTGTTACCCCTGATGATCCCCAGGTAGTGAGACTCGTGTATTTGCTTTACTTTATCGTCGTTGTGTAGATATTCATTGGACATCAAATTCTGTATTTTATATATGGTCAACTTCCGAAGAAATGCTTCGTTGCTGAATTATTCTTTGATGTATCTTATATTCCAGCTCGTTATTCAAAGTTATGTTGAAGTGAGTCCAAAAGTCGTTTCGATATTTTGGCAAGTTCCTCAATATCTTGCTATTACGTCTGCAGAAGTGATGTTCTCCATAACAGGTCTCGAATTTGCTTATTCACAGGTAAGAAAATCTTCTACATAGAGCATCATTAGGATGTATATTGAACGATTATCAACAAGGATGGGATACTTTTGCGGCGTTGCTTTTTGGCTTCCTTGTATTAGCCGCATTATCGAAATTTCTGTCTTCTTTTGATTTTGACGATTGATCCAAAAGGTGCTGGATACTACAAACCTTTTTTTCTTACAACTTTGCCAACCCCAGCACTTGAAAAACCATCGCGTGTTCACCCTGTTTGTTTCATGTTTCAGTCGCCAGCCAGCATGAAATCTTGTATCATGGCTGCGTGGTTGCTCACAGTTTCTGTTGGGAATTTAATCGTCGTGATCTTTGCTGAAGCTCGTTTCTTCAAAAATATGGTAAGCATTTTGTTGTTCATACGACTTTATCGTTCAACTGTCTTGGTAAAGCCTGGTTCATATAGTCGTCCGAATCGTTTCAGTCGTGACAAAATTTCACAGACGACCCGTGAGATTGTATGAGAACATTTCAAAGGCGACCGGGAGTGAAACGACCATGGTCGCTTGGATAGAACTTTGCTCTATCCGGACGACCGAAACGACCTTTGAGAAAGGCAAGCTACCTTTTTATTGCACAAAACGATAAGTCAATAACTAGCCAAAAGACTTTGTCTTTGATAAACAGCAGCTGTCATTTTTTAATGTTTCGCGAAAAAATTTATTAAGCAGTCTCTCGGCGGCGCTAGTACGAATGTATGAGAATTCCATAGCTTGAGTCATCCCAGTCCTTTTGAAAAACAACGAAACAACTCGCAACGACTCGGATAACTCAAGCGACTTATGGAGAACCAGGCTTATATAAGTTAACCGCATGCTGGGATCTTCAGTAACATGTGTTTATCTTTCTTAATCAAGGCATACGAATTCTTCTTCTTTGCCGGTCTTTTGTTGTTGGTGTTGTTGATGTTTGTTGGAATGGCTCATCGTTACACTTACGTCTCGCCCGAGAGTAGATACGAAGAGGAAGGCGATCATTTGTTACTGGAAGAAACTGAGGACGAAACTTCAACTTAAACAAACGTCGAATAAAACGACAAGAAATAATTATAAGAAATTTAGTCGTATTTTTATATATGGCAACATGAATTTTTTGCCAAATACCTGTATTTATTTGAAATATTTTAACTGAATTCAGTTAGATTTTATCTTTCTCATTTCTATTCTTCATGCGTGCTTATTTTGAAGTTGGAAGTCCGCCAGGTTCCGAAATTGTTTTTAACGGATTTCCAATTTTTAGATAGATGATTTATTTCTTAAAAACTGGCAGCCATATTGCTGAAATACGTTTTGCAACTATCGCCGAAGAATTTAGGTGGTTTCGGGTGTTTTTGCTCATTCGCCTCTCGAACATTTTTTTACATACCTTATACCTTTCATCTTCAAACACTTCCTGTCATGACGTCATTTGTCGAATACGAACATCGTGAACAAATGGGAACTTATGTCAGTTCCTGTCAGAGCGAAACACATAATAGTATTTTCGAGTATTTTCTGAAACTTTATTATTTCGTAATGTCATGCGACACAAATAAAAGCAACGAATAATTTGAGACCCAGATAAACAATATTATAAACAAATACTTGATCTATATACATGATGGGATCGATATGATCATCAAGGGTCGTATGGGAAACCAAAACACCATATGCAAAACGCGTACGAACAATGTGTGTGTCCAATCCAACTGAATCCAACCATAATCCAACTGTGAACATTTTGGTAATAGAGGTGATATCGAAGTATAAACTAATCCGTGAACATCATGTGACCAATGTGTGATCATGAATCAAGAATTATAATTTATTCAAACAAATCTATTCTAATTTATTCCGGTAACCGTATATCGTGTACAATACACGAATGCTCCCTCTCCATGCTCATAAAATTTTCTTTTATTGTACGTAGAAATGGATTCTAAAAGTCATCCATTTCAAAAAGAGATTGTTTACAACAAGCTGCTACCTTATAGTGACTCAATTGACCTTGAAGGCCGTAAATTTTTAGAAGAAATCAAGTATAATTTTGGCCGCGCTGTGGTTTTAAGAGAACTTAGACCTGGAGCTCTACATTGGGGGAATAGACTTCAAAGGTAAGGGATAGTCCATCTTTATAAAATGTGAAATAAAATTTTGACATATTTTACTTAGAGCCGAATAGAATTTAGTTAAATCTTCAAGAGTCTTCGTCTCCATGAGTCGGCAACACTTCCAAATCGGCGTTCTTTGTGAAATCCATATCTTCCATGGGTTTCACAAAGTAATCCTTTATGTCATACAAATGGACAATTAAGTTTTGATTTTTGAGTTTATAATTTTACTCTTGGTTCATAGCATGTTTGGGATTTGCGTAAGTCTTGAATATTTTGCAAACTTTCAAAGGAAAAGTTAAATCTTTCATTCTGTGAAATTACAAACAGATGTATTATTAGTGCTGTCAGTTAGGACTGAGGCGAGATGATGGTTCAACCATTTTCATCCACTTAAAGTTTGGAAATGAAGTGTGAATCACATCGTCACTTGTACTTGTTTGTTGAATTGAAATCAGTTGTTGTATGTAGATTATAACATGCACATTCACTATGACCCCCGATCCTCAATCATCCCTTGTCACTTTTTATTCCATTGGCACCCCCCACAATTCTCAATCCTCCCATGTCACTTTTTATTCCATTGGCATCCCCCACAATTCTCAATCCTCCCATGTCACTTTTTATTCCATTGGCACCCCCACAATTCTCAATCCTCCCATGTCACTTTTTATTCCATTGGCACCCCCCCAAACAATTCACAATCCTCCCATGTCACTGTTTGTGCTATTGGTACCCTGCCAATTCTCAATCTTCCATACCATTGCTTGTATCATTGGCATAATGAGTGATGAGCTCCATTGATTCTTGTTTTGCGTTTCCCTTTAGTTTTGACATGTTTTAGATAAAATATATCATTTGCTGACTTGTGCTATTAAGCTATGTTTTGTAGTTTTAGAACTATTATCATCAAACAAGTGCTATGCCTTGGTTTGTTCTTTCCTGGCACATTTTAGTTCAGTTGATAAACTATTGTTAAGTTGAAAAAAGAGCCATTTCTTCACTGATGGATAAGCAGAGAATAATTAAGTTATCAGTGTTTTAACAAATAGAAAACATTGTGTCTGTTTGTGTAGAGTTACAAAAACAGATGGGAAAGTTTGGGGAAACTAGAAAATGCATGGAAAGCACAAACAGGAAGTGCAAATTGCTAGTGTTTTGAAGCAATTTCGAGTTTGCTCCAAATTTTCACAATATAATATGTTTTCTATTTTCTTTATATAATGGCCTTTAAAAATAACATTAAAAAGATAAATTTATTGATTTTGATGACATATTATATATATATTTCTGCCTTTTATATTTCCCACAAAAACCAAGTAAGGTGAAATTCTTGTGTAGCTTTGAGTTATTTTTAGAAACACAGGTTTTTTAAGCATTCAACCAATCAGTGGTTGGTATTGCACGTTCAAACACATAAATAATCAATGAACTATATTGTAATCATCAAATAACTAATTATTCTTTTCTAGTTACATAAAGCTTTACGGTCATCGATTTACAAAGGAAGATCACATCCTCCTGGTTAAACTCACTTTTCAGTTAGTTATAACTGTAGACTCCGACTCCCAATTGTTGACCAGCTTCTGTAATTTACTTATTAAACTTTTGAAGTGAGTTTCGATTCGTTTTAGAAGAAGGATGTATTTTTTTCAATTGAAAATATGAATAGTTACAAGTATGTATTTTGCCTGATCTGTCTGCTTTAGAAAACGGGAATTATTGTCGAGAAAGGATATTGTGCTACCATGGAAACCACTATATAATATATTTGAAAGTATATGTTACTCGAAGTTTTCCACGGTTGGCTTGAAAAGACATTCCTGGTATGTTTTTTTCCTTTCTTTGCCACTCATTGTACGTACTTCGAAGTATTTGGAAAAATATATTCTGATGTTTTTAAAACTGTTTCTTTTCAGTCAACTTGAGGAACTTTTGAAGCAAGTAGTAAGAGCTAGCAGAGTGTAAGTCCAACAACATCTTTTAAGAGAATGCTGAGGTTAATGCTTATGAATGCCTAAAATACACAAAGTGGAAAAGATCCCACAATATTAATGCTATATTGGGTGTTTACTCACCAAAGTGGGCTAGGTTTACCCTTTATAACTGTGGCGTGCTTGTCTGCAATACCATGGCATGTTTCAAAAAGTTTTTTTAGAATTTTTAGTATGAAATAAAGGACAATCTTTCTCTCAATATGAATTATGTAGATATTTTTCTGACGAGTCGACGCAAGAAATGTTGGACAAATGGCGGCCGTTAATGTGTCCATTTGACATAACATTTGCAAAGGCGATGCAGTATTTTTCTCTATTTCTACCAACCACCCTTCCTCCTGAAAAACATGACAAAGGCTTCAAGTATGTATTGTGTCAATTTTCAAAGAAAGAAAATGTGAGATGTAGAAATAGTTATGTGATATATAAAACTCAAATCTTCCTGGAAAACATTATGAGACAGACCAGGGGTGTTGCAAGTTTGTTTGTGTAGCATCTAAATACTTTGGTGTTCAATTAATGTAAATGTCCCTTGAAAGATGAAACATGCCAGTCAATGATGTCACAGAGATTAACCAAAAATATTGCATACTTGTTGTGACAGCTAAGGCATTGTTAAATTGTGAGGGGCTGGCTAAGTCTCAGATCCCGCCAAAGCTCCCCGTTGCTTGTGTTTCTTAGTTTTTTTTTGTTTCTAATGTCATTACAGACTGTGGTTTGATGAGCTCATTGGATTCTGGGATAGCTGTCATAATAGTCCAGCATGGGAGCAGGTCAGAGTGGAATAGATTAGGAACTGTGGGTACACAGTTCTGTCATTTAATGCGTGTTAATCCATTGTTAGTTCTGCGTCAAGCTGTTTGCGAGGGTTGCAAAGGATAACGTGGGATACATCGACTGGAAACCTTATGTATCAAAGGTGACTTGTGTATACAACGACAAGAGCATATTTCTGGCACACTGACAATTTCGTTCTTTTCCTAAACAGATTTTCACCCGGATCTTCCGCAGTTTTAATTTGCCCATTGGAATGAAGAACCAGAATTCATTGCGCGATAACTACGAATCTTACGTCAGCGCTGTGTGGATTATTTCAATGATGGTAAGAGCATGGGTACGACCTTGTTCATCCAGTGTCATATTGCGATCTGTATCGCACGTGCGAAAGTTGATGTAGCTCTGATTGTGTGTGGTCCCCTTTATAAATACAACATGACCTGAAAGGACTCGAAAATTGCGCTATTTTCCTTACTTTTTCATTGAGCATAACTTTGAAAATGACTGTGTGCCTTTTAAAACAGTTTTTTTATATCGTTTTTCATTCTGAAGACTTTACATGTACACGTAGCTTATGTTACGTCAGCTGTACACAACTTGTGACGTCACATTGCATAATGAGAATTTGAAACAGCAGGTATATTTGCTGGTATGTTACCTCAACAGAGCAAAGTTCCTCACATGGTGAAGAATTGATTGTGTAGAAATTGCTTATGATCATTTTAACCAAAACTGGTCTTAAAACTAATGGATGTTCGAAACTTTGCAGCAACTCGTGAATGCCACAGCTTGTTATGATGGACATTTGTCGGCCATGCGTCGAAAGATCGGAAATAGTTGAATCGTTTGCTTTCTAAGTTCGAACTTTCACGTAAAATAGCCTTTCAATATTTAGTTCAAGTTGCGTTATTCGTTCATTATGCCAACAAGTTTTTTGTTTACTTCCCTGTGAGCAAAAGTTTTGCAAATTTTTCATGCTCTTGATTTGATTTGATACCAGCGTAATGCATCAAATGATATTTCGTATTAGGGTCATGATGACTGTGTCCAAAATCATCTGGATAACTTTTTCGAATCCGTTGAGTCGTTTTATCATCCGTCCAACACGGGAAAATACACTGTAAGTACTTCATGTCATATTCTTTATTCATGTCATATTTGACTTCGGAGTTACAGAAAGGACTTCTCTGAGTTCATGTTTCATCTTAAGTTCTATCGCATGACCGCTGACCTCTAACCTAACCTAAATTCGAACAGAAATATGAGCCTGCATCGATTCATTCCCGTGAAAATAGCATGCTAACCATTTGGCTAAATGGCCATGTTTTTACGAAATGTAATGAAGGAAGTACGCCCCCCCCCCTCCCATGATTTTTTTGATTGTGTTTAAAGTAGCGTTGACAACAGCTTTTGGTAAGCCATTAAAGGTACATGATCTTGTGTGATTTATGACTTCTTACCTCGGTGTATTACATAACAATGGATTTTGTACAAATGTCAGAAATGTCTGGTAGTTTGGTTTCACAATCGATGACGTTTTTCTCAGAGTGACGTGCTTCCGGATAACGTCAATTTATACGTTGCATGAAGTACACCACAACTACATTTTGGAGCGTTTTGCTGTGAATGAACGCCCCCTTTACTCACCTTAAAGTAAATATTACGATCGTATTTTTTTATTTACCATTACAGACTAAACTTCAGTATTTCTTGAGTCGTTTGTCGCGAGTGATTTGTGATCGCGTTTACAGGTTTGTGAAATTATCTTCTCAACGCGATTTTATTGAGCTCCGGGTTAGAAGCTATGCAATCCAGTCACGTGTCAATCGAATCACGTGTGTCAGTCCAGTCACGTGAATACGTTCCATCAAATACAAGACAATTTATATACAGGTGATTAATGACACGTGGCAAGTTCATATTGTTTGTTTTAATTACAGAGAACGATACAAAAAACCATCTTGGGAAATGACAATTCCGGAGAATTTCCGTTTGTCCGACGACAGGATCATGAAGTTTGTGGAATGTCTGAAACCGGTCGTTTTGCTGTCCATGTTCAACAAACTGGGCAGTTTTCAAGCTGCGACATGTCTACAACAGCTTGCCTTGTTAAGACCTGATATAGTATTGCCGACTTTGTTAGAAAGGTGAGGGGATTTAAACCTTCACTTACTGAATAGCCTGAAGCCATCTTTGAAACGTCGAAATTTTTGCATGTCAGCTACGTAACACGTTTATCGTGTGAACATTGATCACGCCGGTGTAGCTAAATTTGAATTTGATTTTGGCTTCAGATGTTTAATTTTGTGGATGCTGCTGTTTTGTATTTAGGGAAACTTCTACACCCGAGATTGTTTTCATTGCTTTACAACAAACCTCCTAACCTCTAACTCTCATCTACGTCCTTACATTTAAGTTTAACTCGTAACATCTCTCCATAGTCCTTACCTTAATCCTTAACCTCTCACTCTTATCTACGTCCTTAGTTTTAAGTCCAACTCGTAACATCTCTCCTTAGTCCTTACTTTAATCCTTAATCTCTCAACTCTCATCTACGTCCTTACATTTAAGTCCAACTCGTAACATCTCTCCATAGTCCTTACTTTAATCCTTAATCTCTCAACTCTCATCTACGTCCTTAGTTTTAAGTCCAACTCGTAACATCTCTCCATAGTCCTTACCTTAATCCTTAACTTCTCAACTCAGAACATAACTACAACACCATGCCGTAACTCCAGATCAATCATAAATCATAATCCCTTGACTGACCAGTGCAGTGACTGTTATATAATATTTGATAAACATTGATCCTTATTATACTTCATAGACAAACTAAGTGTTATGTTGTATCTCTTATCTCTGTCAGAACATACACTGCTATCGATACGTTAACCGAACCTCATCAACTGACGGCATCGCTGACCTGTATTACTGCAGTCGCGCGACCATTGTTATCGAGCTTGGAAACATTCCCAAATGGTCCAACACATTTCTTGCGTCTTCTAACGCTTGTTCTACCTGGAATCGATGCGAACGACTTTCGAAAAGCGATGGTGAGCAACAGCAAGAAATTATTGCAAATGATATTATGTGTTGATTTACTATTTGTCAACGCTCTCATCTTTTGTCATCTCGCTGTAGGCTACTTTTACTTTTATTTCAACTTTGGTATCATTGGTACCGCTGGTCGACTGTTCGCAGGCTGTTCACACAATGGAACTTACTGAGGTGTTTATGTACTTGCTCTTTTTGTAATATCCAATTTTTTCATTGAATAAAACATCTGAACATCAAAAAAGGGCTTCAAACTTTTCGAGAAGCCAACCATTGTTACTCTGTGCTTTAAACGTTCTTATTTTTTAAACAGATGTTGATAAAAAATTAACGCGGTTCGTTACTTGTTAAATTTTAGACCGAGAAAGAAATGTGTGCTGCTAGCGGCCATTTTGAAGATTTTGTTCTTTTGTTCATGGAAAGGTAGCAACTATAAATTCGAGGTCGTTGCGTTGAAAATTAGTTCTTTATCGTTTTGCTTTGTTCAGTTTATTTACGTCTAAACTATTATGAAAATGTTCAATTGTTTTCCCATCTTTTCATCGTCGTTTTGCCATTGTTCAATCGTCGTTTTACTGTCTTCATTATGGTTTACAATCGTTGTTACATCGTCATACCATCGTTCCACCGTCATTCCACGATCGTTGTACTATCGTTTCAACATCGTGATATTTCTTCAGGTGCTTTGCAATGATCGAGAATTGTCAATTTCAACCGACGTCGGAACTAAACAGTGCTGAGAACATGGATAAGATGGACAGCCAAGAGGGAATGATTGGAATGGGTCTCACTTCAACATTTCACACAATATTAATGCAATGTTCGCCACAAATATTTAAAGTAAGGCAAAGAATCGACTTCTGAAATTTGACTGCTCACCACCCAACCCCCCCCCCCCAAGTGTTCGCCCCTTAAAGTATCTCTCGTCGTTACCTCCCTATAGGTCGCCCTGAAGCATCTTTTTCAGTTTTGCTCCAACAAGATTTTCGAGACTAAAGTAGCTGGTCAAATGGTCGCTGATTTTTGTCGAGCAGCTTCGAGGGTGAGTTTCTATGATTAAAAATAGTGATACAATCCTCACGACAACACGTTGTATTTCACACGTTGTATTTCACACGTTGTAACTCACGACAACATTAGATTATCATGAAAATTTATCATTTAGTCTTGCTGTTCTTTAGACGGACGCTCCATCGACATTGAAACTGTTTATTCCTTACATTCATTCGGTGATTCAAAACATTGTGTCAGGTAAGCGTATACTTCGTTTTGCTTTCATTATAGTTCTTCAATTTTCATTTGACAAGAGTTAACAACAGTCTTGAAGATCAGTAAAGAAGTAGGGATTGCGCAGAAACTGACATTCCAAACGCATTTCCTACTTTAAAGAATAAATACGATTGGAGTTTTTGTAATACGTATAGATAACATAGTATATTGCCAATATGACGTATGGATAACATAGTATATTGCCAATATGACGTATGGATAACATAGTATATTGTCAATATGACGTATGGATAACATAGTATATTGTCAATATGACGTATGGATAACATAGTATATTGTCAATATGACGTATGAATAACATAGTATATTGTCAATATGACGTATAGATAACATAGTATATTGTCAATATGACGTATGGATAACATAGTATATTGCCAATATGATGTATGAATAACATAGTATATTGTCAATATGACGTATAGATAACATAGTATATTGTCAATATGACGTATGGATAACATAGTATATTGTCAATATGATGTATGGATAACATAGTATATTGCCGATTATTCCACGTCAATGACTGTCATCCTTCGTTTACATTCTTTCTCTGCAAGCCACCCTTCAATATTATCCATTGTCCACATCCATGGCTATCATTCTTCGTTCACATCTATCCCCTGAGAGCGATCGATCCTTCAATATCAATCGTTCACATCCATGGCTATCATTCTTCGTTCACATCCATCCCCTGAGAGCGATCGATCCTTCAATATCAATCGTTCACATCCATGGCTATTATTAATTGTCTCATGCTTTCATCCGCCATTCATTGTGTAACATCTTTTGTCAAACATTTTATCTTTTTCGTGTGTGAATTCACCATCTAGGTTGTTCTTCTCACCTCACGTATTCTTTCGATTCTTCTTTAGTCGAGGGAATTGAAGAAGAGGAAGAAGTTGATGAAGAGTTGCACTGGTGTCTACAGTTACTTTCAGAGGTTATATTTTCATTTAAGTAATATTTAAGTAAAGATACTCTAATCCACATTGCATCAACACTCCTCCTTGTTAAAGGCCCCGTGAACAATGCTCAGAAAAACATCATATCGTAATTTGTTGAGCCCGAAGCTAGTTTTCTCGGCATCGTTTGATGTATATCTTGCTGTGTATTTTCAGGTCGTTCGTTGCAACGGCGAGGCTATTCTACCGTACAAGGATGAACTCGTGGGCATTTTGAAACCGTGCCTTGCTCTAAAATGTAAACGGGCATTTCATTTCGCTGCCAAGGTAATTTTAATGACGTTCAAAGTGAAAACTTCGTTCGTTTTATCGAGCAAAGTTTTGTCTACGTAAGCGAGCTAGTTACTATCTGAGCAGTGCAAGGAAATGCAGTTGATATGCATGAACTTTATTTATTGGCCTGATGGGCTGTGTAAATTTTTTCTCATATATTCTCGGCACGTTTTCTGTATTCGTCCATATAAGGAGAATGTAGCCAATACACAACCATAGACATTACACCACGTATAGAAAGAAAATCGCTTACGCGTAAATCGTGGACAACATCACGACCAGTGGATGATTATGTAGATTATAGCTTATGATGGCTTTTATTAAAAAGAATTTATTTTTGCCACGAAGTTAATGGATGCTCATCTCATGATGCAAGTTAATGGAGAAACGAAGCAAATATGCAACACATTTGTGAAGTAGCTATAATAAGAAACCGAATCGTATGAATGGATTTGCAATAAATTCGAAATAGTACTGTGTCAAAATGAAAAATTGTCTTTTTTGTTTCTCAAATATTGAGTTAAACCTGGACTTTTTATTCGGAGTATGCTTCATATTGAACATTTCGTAGTTGATCGAAATTACGTACGTGTCGGCATGCAGTGTTTTATTGAAACTTTGCACTATCCTTGTTTCGTTGTTGTATCGCACAAGGATAGGTGCAACTGCTGTTTAATGTCGTTTCTTTCTTTTATGGCTATACCTCATTTTTTGACTCTGTAAGTGTTGTACTTTGTACACTTAACGTTCGTGTTAAGTTCTTGTTGCTAGCTCCATGTCAACAATGTATGCTTGATAAAGGTACCTCATTTTTTGACTGTGTAAATGTTGTACTTTCTACACTTAACGTTCGTGTTTAGTTCTTGTTGCAAGCTCCATGTCAACAATGTATGTTTGATAAATGTTTGTGTAATTATAGGTTTTACATCATCTCATTCCTTCGCTGGTCGTAATCTACCCAACGGAATGGAAAAACTCCGCCCATGATTTTGGTGTAAGCCCCGAGGAACATCTTTTTATCAAGGTATGCGTAGTTTTGGACGTATTTTTTTTGGGGGGGGGGGAGGGACGACGTAATGTTTGCAATTCTCTAAATTCTCCATTAGCGGCTCGGTATCTACCTTTATGATCAGGGTCTTCGATTGATTTAAAGTAAAATGCGCTATAGAAATGATAAGTCTAAAGAGCGTCTTATTCACGCCATTGAAAACCATATTCATGCATAGGTACTTAGCTACCGGCATTGGCATTTTTTTTAATCTCTTATTATCTTTGTTTTACCTCGGCTTCCTCAGCTTCTCGCGTACATCTCTTGGTAGGATTCCAAAAACCATGCCATTTTATTGTCAAAATCACACACACTTTCATTTATATGATGAATGAACGCGATTTAGGCAATGTGTGTGTTTTTTTTTGTTGAAAAGGACTGGGAATATCTTGTGACGTCGATGATGTATCATAATGTGTGCGTGTTGTTTGAAAAGGACTGGGGAATATCTTTTGAGGTCGATGATGTATCATAATGTGTCTGTGTTATTTTAAAAGGACTGGGGAGCATCTTGTGACGTCGATGATGTATCAATCAAATGGCATGTTCCTTCATTGGGAGAGAAGATGTTTGCGAAAGAACTTCTAGATACGTTTCTACTTCCCGCTCTTGATCGTCTTGCCAAGTTTACTAAAGGAGATAAAATGACCAAGTATTGTGAATTTTTTGTTTTTGCACATACGTATTACATCTAATTGAATGTATTTTCTAAGACTTGCTGTCGACAAACTTTCGAAAGTACAAATGTTTGTTTCATAGGGATGAACTTCAGCATTCAGTCGATATAGTTCATCACATTTTACAAGGTTCATGTGGGTTACTGCCGGCATTTCAAGGTCCGCCTCAAAATAACATGTAAGTGAAATGGGTCGTGAATAAAATATTTCGAGAATGTCACGTAAAGTTTTTTTTAAATATTTCGAACTGTGTAGGACCATTTGGGGAAAGTGGGGACAATCTTTTTTGCTACTCATCATTTGTCATTTCCTCATGTAATACATGAAATATATGAAAAGGAGAATATAAAATGTCGGATGTTCCCTTTTGATGACTTTAACATATACCATGTAAATTTTTTTGCCAAATGTATACTAACTATAAAGTAAATCGTTTGAACCCGGGAGTGTCGTTATATGTTTGTAAATGATGATCGTCCAGGTTAATAAAGTCCTGAGAAGGACTGTTTTTGTTGTTGTTGACTGACGTTTCGACAACCTTCGCGGTGGTCATCTTCAGAGTCAGAGTCAAGAGTCATTTGACTCTGAAGATGACTACCGCTAAGGTTGTCGAAACGTCAGTGAACAACAACAAAAACAGTCCTCAGTATACTAACTATCGTGATTATCCAATGTCATCCATGAAGATCCTAGCCAAGTCCTCGTTATCACCTCCGAGGCTTGCATGACTTTGCACCAAATCCTCAATTTTGACAACTTGCGTTTGCATTTTTATAGTGAAGCTAAGTCTTTGGTGAATCTCGACGGAGAACCTCACACGTTCTCTTGCGAACCAGGTAATACTTCATGTATAGAAACCTTCCACAGTAGAGAAATTAATGATCTTATTGTTTACCGAATACTTTTCTAGAGATTTCTCTTGGTGAATGCTCACGGGACAAGATTGGAGAAGACATACATTGTTTGTTGGGTAGGTTTTGTAAGATTCAAACAGTGCTATGTTCACTGATGCTTTTGCGCATGACCGATGTGGATTGATGATGTTTCTGTTGTATAGTGTATGTTTTATCCAATTGTGAAGATGATACCAAGACACTTTTCACTATCATTAAGGTGACGATTTTTTAAAATGCTTTTTATTCAATGCTCTCGATTGTCGGGACTCTCAACTTTTTGTCGCTTATATTATTCAGATATACAAAGCTATTTTACTTCAATTTGGCGTCGCGAGATCAGAGTTCGACATGAGGTCTGGTTTGGAGTTATATTTTATCTTTCCAAGTTGATTGAACGTTTATAAATGAGTCGCCATGCAAGGCGAAGTGCGCTTTCGTCATTTTCTCGTTTCTAGTTTCTACATGATAACAGTGGCTTTTGCCTTAAAACGAGGCTTTTGGTAATAACAAATTCAAATGAATACGATGGATTGTCGATAGAGCATTTAGAACGGCGCTTTCAATAATAGTAATAAGTTGTAGCTAATAAATACTTTAGATATGAATAAATGAATATCTATATTTTGACACGCTTGTCTCGTAAGCCGAAGTTGATTTCGACGAGAGGCGTCTTTTTGTACGGGTAGAATCACATAAATCACAAAGTAATAAAATAACAATAGTTATATATAGAAGAGCCACTTAAAAGATAGGTTTAGGTATTTATGAAGTTTAGTCTATCATCAAATATAAAAAGCAAACTTAACTAAATCATAAAAAGATGATGAATACATACGTTAAGAAATTTCATTAATCGTAAACATAGATCGATTCAAGTAAGATCTTTTTTTTAGATGGAAGAGCGCTCACGCTGTGAAAAAGGCCATGCAAAACAAGGTGAGTGGCCTGAATTTTACTTATCTATCGACTTTGCATGAATCTGTGTTGTGCAAGAGGACACAAAGCCCCATATTCCCAAAGCTCCCTCACCTTAACCGTCATTGAGTGCCACAAAGAAACATTGCTCCAACTGATCAATGACAAAGTCCAATTTCCATCGATGGCTAGGTTTTTGCTATAATATATCAAATCAAGCAATCAATGGAAAGTGAAAATGTTGTCATGAAATAATTATGAGCTGATTTCGAAACACCACTCAGTGTGAGTTTTAGTGAGCTTTTAGAAGATGGGCGAAATTTTCCAATAGTATATTCGTAGCCCCATGAACCTATTTTTCTAATAGTTATCTCAATCATCCTAGAACACGTTTGACCCTTACTTAGAAACTCTTTCTTTCTGCCAGTTTTACCACAAAAAGAAACACGTTCGAGCTTTACTTATAGAGAGGATTCAACTTCAGCACGAGGTATTTACAACACATCAAATCCGTTTTTATTTTCAACTGTTTCGACGAGTGGTGCGATTACTCACAGATATTGCAGTGTGAACTTTGCAAAACGAAGACTTGGTTGTGATTATAAATGTGAATAACCTCTGAACGAAGTATTTGTCGTGGTTTACGACAATTGAGTAGTTCTTAAGAGAACTGTTGAAAACCGTAAAGATAGCTATAAAATTGTGTTACTCATGACACTTTATTTTGATTTGTAATAATTTTCGACACCATGGCAAATACGCTGTTCAAAGCAATATTTTTAGGTGTATAGTTTCTAGGTTGTTAGTTCCATACATCATCGCATTGTATGAATATGACAGAGTAAATAACATAGTTCATTAAAAATATTCTTACTTGCCACGAAGTCGATTGTTTCTTCTCGTGATTCGCGAGTCATAGTTGAATGTGAGTAAGAAAGAAATCAAATAAATGTGCATAAAACATATTTGTTTAAGTTGTGTTCGAATTACCACTCAAAAGGCAGTCTTAGTTATAATTTCCATCATCGTCAATGTTCAGATCGTGTGAAGTTTTGTAAACAACAAGCGAAATGATATTTGTGGAAATGTTTGTGCGTAATTGTGTCCATATCATTTAACGTTTTGCTGTTTAACTTTGTTATAGATGAGGGTCTTGGCCGACCGTTGTTGTAGCATGACGCAATTACAGGAAACATTAATCATGGACCTTTTCACATTATCAACTAGTATGTACACTGAGGTATGGGATAGTTTTTATACTATCAACTAGCGTGTACACTGAGGTATGGGATGGTTTTACACTGTCAACTAGTATGTACACTGAGGTATGGGATAGTTTTCATACTATCAACTAGCGTGTACACTGAGGTATGGGATGGTTTTCATACTATCAACTAGTGTGTACACTGAGGTATGGGATGGTTTTCACACTATCAACTAGTGTGTACACTGAGGTATGGGATGGTTTTCATACTATCAACTAGCTTGTACACTGAGGTATGGGATGGTTTTCATACTATCAACTAGTGTGTACACTGAGGTATGAGATGGTTTTCACACTATCAACTAGTGTGTACACTGAGGTATGGGATGGTTTTCATACTATCAACTAGCTTGTACACTGAGGTATGGGATGGTTTTCATACTATCAACTAGTGTGTACACTGAGGTATGAGATGGTTTTCACACTATCAACTAGCTTGTACACTGAGGTATGGGATGGTTTTCATACTATCAACTAGCTTGTACAGTGAGGTATGGGATGGTTTTTATACTGTCAACTAGTGTGTACACTGAGGTATGGTATGGTTTTCATACTGTCAACTAGTATGTACACTGAGGTATGGGATGGTTTTCATACTATCAACTAGCTTGTACACTGAGGTATGGGATGGTTTTCATACTATCAACTAGTGTGTACACTGAGGTATGAGATGGTTTTCACACTATCAACTAGCTTGTACACTGAGGTATGGGATGGTTTTCATACTATCAACTAGCTTGTACAGTGAGGTATGGGATGGTTTTTATACTGTCAACTAGTGTGTACACTGAGGTATGGTATAGTTTTCATACTATCAACTAGCTTTTACAGTGAGGTATCGAACAGCTTTCATACTGTCAACTAGCGTGTACACTGCACTGATACGCTGACGTATAAGATAGCTTTTATGTACTATCAACTACGTAATGTATCTAGTAACTAGTATACTAAGGTATGGAACAGTATGTTAAGGTATGGAACAGTGTACTAAGGTTTAGGACAGTATACTAAGGTATCGGACAGTATACTTAGGAATAAGACAGTATACTGAGGTATGGGACAGTTTTGCTTCTCCGAAATTCAATGTGCTGTAATTCTAATTTCAGGTGCGTGTGAAAGCTCAGAAAGTGCTGGCGATGTGTTTCGATAAATTTCTGTATTCACCAAGATTTCTTATGAACTCTCTTGTATTGAAACTACAACCTCATCCTGACGTATCACACGAGCAATTCAAAGTAAGTTGGAAGTTACTTCATGTAAGTAGGGTTTGGTACGTGGGAAGGAAAGTCGGGGGAGAGCTTTTTGTGTTAAACTATGCCGCTTGGCTATTGTTGTAGTTGTTGAATTTTTTTTTATAATTCTATTGCAGGGATCACTTTTTCTCTTGCTGAACGCGCGAATTCTATACATCATGACACATTATTGGGAGATCATAGAAAAGATTTGGTTGGCTGTTGCACAGGTATCTCTCTTGATAGTGTTTTAAAGCGTGTCGAAGATCTCATTTCATTTGATAAAGTGTCAATTGACTCGAGATGTAGTTTTGTTTTGCACGGATTGAAGTGCAAAATTAAACTTCGTGATGATGCGAAATGTTTGTAACTTCGTTCGAAATGTACGGATTTTTAAATATAACTTTGAAGAACTAGTTTTTACATTGCTGTTCACTACTCTGTGAAGTGTTGAATTAGATTAGGATTTAAATTAAATTAGCTTCAACGTCAACCAATTATGTTTATGCATTGCTGTCCACTAATCTGTGAAGTGTTGAATTAGATTAGGATTTAAATTAGATTAGCTTCAGCGTCAACCAATTATGTTTTTGCATTGCTGTCCACTACTCTGTGAAGTGTTGAATTAGATTAGGATTTAAATTAGATTAGCTACAGCGTCAAATTATATTTTTACATAAAGTTTTGTGATTCGGATTTTTGGTTTGCTATCCATCTTCATTTTCAAATTTTCAGGCAGAGCATTCAGAAAAACCGTCAATCGTCGCTCTCATTAATCTCGTTGCTGATAAGATTGCAAAGAAACATGACGCTGTTGCTCTTACGTTAGATGTAAGTATAAGTATTTTGTACGTCCCAAACAAATCTTTCTTAAGACCTTATTGACATGGACCAACAACTTTCTCAAACGTTATGGAAGGGTCTGTTCATTGCAACAGCCATCACCCACAGTCCTTTCTTATGACTTCGTTGACATGGATGAACAACTTTCTCAAACGTTATAGATTGATCTGTTGATTACTTTTTGTTTATCTTTCACACAAGGTGTCCACGGCAGCTTTTGATTCGGCTATGTCAGTTCTGAACGCTGTTCAAAGCCTTTACCTGCCATCCAGCTATCCCAAGTCAGTTTTGCCCTCCGAAGACGAGATCAGTGTCGGTGAAACGACTCTTGCCGAGCGAAATCAAACAAGTTTACAGTAAATATATTTTTTTTATGATTAAACGCTGTGAAGCAGAATAAGAAAAGGACTTATGCATTAGTGCCGTAGTCAGCTTGCATCACAGCAGGCATAAAACTTTCGAGCTAGCGAAGCTACTTATATGAATTTGAAGTTTTATTGTAGCACAGTTTAGGCAACAAACAGTAAGTTCATTACGCCGTACTTCTTGCTGCTGTATATTTAATTAGTTTGCTGGCTGCGGTTAGCCAGCTCTGCAGTGTATGTTATACATGTAGATGGAATATTATACAATGAACTTGCAATCTCGATTCTGATTGGCTATGAGTCTACAGATAATTCTCAATGTCTTTCCATGTATAAAACATTGAATGTTATAAGTAGGTGAGGTAAATTCTAATGTGTTTATTGGCAACTTCGCTTCAGCAATATAACATTGACCTCGACCTGCCCAACATCATTCAACAATTGTTATATTGTTTTTTTACAACTTCTATGATAAACTTGCGTTGTATTTTCAATACTTAATTAAGGGATGTTTATTTTATTTTTTCAGTCATTACAACTCATTGGTGGAGAAGTTGATTTCGCTCGTGAACAGCAACGATTTGTAAGTTGTCTTTCTTTCAATATGTTGCTCTTTTCTCATTCACAGATCAAAGTTTTGGTCTGTGCTTCCATTCGTTATTGTTTGGTTAATCGTTTGCTTCCATTTGTTTTTCAATATTTTAGACGCTGGCGTTTCTCACAGATTTGTACGCGACTTTTAAATTTGTTGGTTCGTTGGGACGTCAGTCCTCCCGTATCCCTCGTTAAGCTCTTTACGCAAAACTTAATACACGAAACTTTGGCTATAAGAAAGGTTTGATTGCCGTTCATACTTTAAGGATGTTTTCTAAACATTAATTCTCCTGTATAAATTCGTATGTACATGATGTCCCTCTGTTGTTCATTCATCACTATCTACACTGAAGCACGCAATCTTAGTTTATATTTTAGATAGTGTAAAGACTGTTCTCGTTCTCTGTTGTTCATTCATCACTACCTACACTGACACATGTTATCTTAGTTTATATTTTAGATAGTGTAAAGATTGTTCTCGTTCTCTGTTGTTCATCCATCACTATCTACACTGACACATGTTATTATAGTTTATATTTTAGATAGTGTAAAGACTATTCTCGTTCTCTGTTGTTCATTCATCACTACCTACACTGACACACGTTATCTTAGTTTATATTTTAGTTAGGGTAGAGACTGATTTCATTCTCTGTTGTTCATTCATCACTACCTACACAGACACATGTTATCTTAGTTTATATTTTAGATAGTGCAAAGATTGTTCTCGTTCTCTGTTGTTCATTCATCACTACCTACACTGACACACGTTATCTTAGTTTATATTTTAGTTAGGGTAGAGACTGATTTCATTCTCTGTTGTTCATTCATCACTACCTACACAGACACATGTTATCCTAGTTTATATTTTAGATAGTGCAAAGACTTTTCTCGTTCTCTGTTGTTCATTCATCACTACCTACACTGACACACGTTATCTTAGTTTGTATTTTAGATAGTGCAAAGACTGTTCTCGTTCTCTGTTGCTTGTTCGTCATCGCCTACACTGACACACGTTATCATCTTAGTTTATATTTTATGTAGTATATAGACTGTTCTCGTTCTCTGTTGTTCATTCATCTTTACCTACACACGTACACACTTTATCGTAGTTTATATTTAGATTGTGTAAAGACTGTTCTTGTTCTCTGTTGTTCGTAAATATTTTAGATAGTACAAAGACTGTTCTCATTCTCTGTTGTTCATTAATCATCACTTAAATTTACACGCTTTGTCTAAGCCTTATATTCAGTTGTGTTGAATTAAGAACATAGGAATACCAAACTGACGCAGATTTCAAACGGTTAATTTTTTTAGTTATAAGTTTATTTACATCCTGAATCGCTGCAGACGTTTCTCATTTTCATATTTTTTACAGCTTGCTATATCTACGATGGGAGCTATATTAAAATTGCAAAAACGAACACATTCAAAGCTATTGATTGACCCATATGACGAAGGTATCAATTTTTCTACGTCTTATATCTTCTTCATGCTTGACTTCTATCAATTGGCTTCCCAAGAACCATGAACAGAATGGTTGTTTGACGTAGTGAAATTCAAGTTTTTTTCAATGTGTATTCGATTTTTGCTCGTAATCGTCATGTTTCATACTACAAACTCCAGGAGCCGGTTGCACGAAGCCTGGATAGCGTTATCCTTTGGATAGCAAGTCTTTTAAGCTTTTATAAAATCTTTTAAAAAGCAAAATATATAAGATTCGAACTGAGCAATCACTGTAATAAAATATTGTTTCGAAGATTACGAGATTTCTTTGTCGTAAGAAAAATATAAACACCTTTTTTACAAGTTTGAAGATTTTTGCTATCCAATGGATAACGTGAATATATTATGTCAGAAACGACTTATTTTTTCCATTTTATTCCTTGAATGAAATGCAAAGTTGATGGAATCCACTTTCTTTAGCTGGTCTGACGACACCGAAAGTAATTACGATTCAAGCCGGTGACCGACCTGACAACTATTGGTAAGCGGGGATTGTGTTGGATTTTGATGTACATATATGGAATGTGTTTTATTGCTCGATAAAAGAGTATACATTTCCCGCGTTTTTGTTTTATCAGGTTGCATTACGTGAGAGATAAACTACCAAAGACTGAAGAGGATTGGAATGAATGTCATTTTATAGATAAAACAAATGTTGGATACTATACTTGGCCAAAGTAAGTTATTCTTTCCCAACTGAAAAATTTTCACTTTAATTTTGCCAGTTGTTTCCTTTTGGCGATTAGCTGTCCGGTATCGTAGTTCTGTGTGTGTATTTTTCTCGACAGTTGGCAGTTCCAGAGGGACTTGAGAAGCTTTTTTGAAGGCTATTGAAGGAGTTCTTCGGTGATCATTTGATCACTTAAAGTGGTTACACTATAATGATGAAAATACTTAATAGCTATTAGTTATTTGTTTGTAAATGTAGATCGTCCAGGTTGGTATAGTCCTGAGAAGGACTGTTTTTGTTGTTCTTGACTGACGTTTCGACAACCTTAGCGGTAGTCATCTTTACAGTCAAAAAATGGCTCTAGTTATTAGCTATTAGTTATTTTTATTACGTTTTCTTTGACTGCATCATGACAAGGTTTTTATCGATTTAAAAGTTGGTGACGCTTACAAAAATATATCGTGAATATAAACATTTAAGAAAGAAGCTAAATTTGTGTGTGTCCTTCCTATAAGGGTACACCCACACTCCTAAAGTTATGGATGTCCGGACACCCATACACACGCGGCTTCCCAAGCTCCTGGACACTTCAGTTTCAAAGTATACCCAAAACTCCAAAACTATATATGTATATGTGGGTCAACGTTTTTGCATACAGCTTGCCCAAGTAACTAGATGTTTCAAAGTTCTATAAGACACCGCACATTATTTTTTTCATTATTTTCTTATAGAAAGCTGTATACTTATGCTCCGTATTCTCAACAACCGTGTCTTGATCGGAAAAGAGAGGACCTGAGCGAGGTAATCGAAAACTGTTTGTTCCCTTGACTTACTGTTTTAGTACTGTTGTATTACTGTTGTATTGCTGTTGTATTGCTGTTGTATTACTGTTTTATTACTGTTTTATTGCTGTTGTCTTACTGTTGTATTGCTTGCACAAATAAGATTTCTGCTGAAGAAAGATTCCATTTGACTTTTGTGTGCTTGCATTGCCTTGAATGTGTTGTACGAGAGGGACAAAGAAACGTGTTTCCCACTAGGCCGAAAGAGAGATTTTGATGCTTTTTCTAATCCGGAGTTCGTGGAAAAGTTCGTCTCGTATTTATCTTTGGAAGATCGGAAAGGAAAAGACAAATTTAATCTCAATAGATTTGTTCTATTCAAGGTTCGTATATCTTAAGCACAAGCTAATTTATATTCAACGAGAAATGGTCAACATCATGTATAAAATTTCTGCGCGCCCTGCATTGCGGTTGACGAGGATTCCTAGTTTAATTGCCTTGACTGTTAACTTATTAACTACCATAGCATAGCTCGTTCTAAAAGGAAGTGTTGAAACAGTATTGCGTCTGAATTAATCGAGTGAAATAAAATTCGTATCTTTTGTACGATTTCCTTGAGACAAAATGATTGTCGACTTCATAGTAAGGGAACCGCCATGTGTTTCATGAAGTATTTTATGCGGAAATGTTGTTTTTTTCTTTTCAGGGTTTGTTTCGTAATTTTGGTGACACGTTTTTGAAACAGTTTGAACAACATCTAGAAAAATTATCTGGTGATATGAACGTAAGAGTTTCAACGATTGTCAATACATGTTTTCATCTATTTTGTTCTTCATACCTTTTCGTTTTCATAATGCCTTTATCTAATACGGATGCATGAGAAATCGCCCCGGAATTGACAGTTTTTTAAATCACTTCAGGAGGGTCGCTTCGTCATTTAAGCATAATCCCTAACAACGTGGAACGTTGAACACTGATTGATTTTTCTTGTTGCATTTGATGAGAATCACATGATTACAGTTATACCGGAAGATGGCGTTGTTTATAAAATTTTCTCCCTAGGAGAGTAGCCAACGTTGTGCGGCTGAAATAACCGCTGGTCTTATACGAGGCAGCAAGCACTGGACATATCCAAAGGTAGTCAAATCATTAGCCGGTTGTGTCATATATATCATTTTTACAACCATTGTGTCGTACATTGTATCCCAACAACCATTCTGTTATCAATGTATCCCATCAACCATTGTGTCTTACATTGTATCTCAACAACCATTCTGTTATCAATGTATCCCATCAACCATTGTGTCTTACATTGTATCTCAACAACCATTCTGTTATCAATGTATCCCATCAACCATTGTGTCGTACATTGTATCTCAACAACCATTCTGTTATCAATGTATCCCATCAACCATTGTGTCGTACATTGTATCTCAACAACCATTCTGTTATCAATGCATCCCATCAACCATTGTGTCGTACATTGTATCTCAACAACCATTCTGTTATCAATGTATCCATCAACCATTGTGTCTTACATTGTATCTCAACAACCATTCTGTTATCAATGTATCCATCAACCATTGTGTCTTACATTGTATCTCAACAACCATTCTGTTATCAATGTATCCATCAACCATTGTGTCTTACATTGTATCTCAACAACCATTCTGTTATCAATGTATCCCATCAACCATTGTGTCTTACATTGTATCTCAACAACCATTCTGTTATCAATGCATCCCATCAACCATTGTGTCTTACATTGTATCTCAACAACCATTCTGTTATCACTGTATCCCATCAACCATTGTGTCACATTGTATCTCAACTACCATTCTGTTATCAATGTATCCATCAACCATTGTGTCGCATTTGTATCTCAACAACCATTCTGTTATCACTGTATCCATCAACCATTGTGTCTTACATTGTATCTCAACAACCATTCTGTTATCAATGTATCCATCAACCATTGTGTCGTACATTGTATCTCAACAACCATTCTGTTATCAATGTATCCCATCAACCATTGTGTCTTACATTGTATCTCAACAACCATTCTGTTATCAATGTATCCCATCAACCATTGTGTCGTACATTGTATCTCAACAACCATTCTGTTATCAATGTATCCCATCAACCATTGTGTCGTACATTGTATCTCAACAACCATTCTGTTATCACTGTATCCCATCAACCATTGTGTCGTACATTGTATCTCAACAACCATTCTGTTATCAATGTATACCATCAACCATTGTGTCGTACATTGTATCTCAACAACCATTCTGTTTTCACTGTATCCCATCAACCACACTGTTATCACTCTCATCTTTTTCTTACTTCTCAATTAATCTTCATATAGCTTGAATCGCTGTGGAATTTCATTATTCCTGTCATTAAGAAAGCTTTGGATAGCATCACCGTGGAAACATTACGAGACTGGGGGACCAGTTTAGCGACGGCAGCTGTAAGCTAACGTTTGCATGCCAACACTCAACAGTTATCTATATATATTTATAATTGTGACGTTTCCTTCAGGAAAGTAGAGATCCCAGACGTATACATCGTCTTCTTGATTTATTAATGGACGATCCTCTTAATGGTAGAGGCGGAGCATTTGCTGATAGCAGGTAGGTCAAGGTGTAAACAATCTCATCTGACGTTTGTCTTTTTTGATTTTCTTCCCTCGACTTGAAAATCTATTGACTCTTTAACACTGAATGGATCCTCAAACCCTCCCCGCGTGATCCTCGTAGTTATTGAGTTACCACTTTGACGTAACTTTTTAGTCGTTTGTACGTACTGCAAGGAGCGCTGGCTCAGCAGGAATGGCGAGTGGCAGAATTACTTCATGATCTACTGAAGTACATCGAGCCAAAACTTGGACATGCTTATAAAGACGTTAGAGACAGACTTGGAAGGTAAAACGAAGAACGTTTACGAGCAGAGATCTTTATTCCCGCTGTTTTAGCTTTTGTCCTTCATATTTTTCAGCGTCACTTGTAACATCCTGATGTGTGACGTAAAGTTGGCACGTGGTACACCATCACGTTCCCCTCACGTGGTCGACTTCATCAAGGCCGCTATGTCTCAACTTCCGAACCTTAAGGATGTTAACCTGTTACAAAATGAAGGTCACGTGACATCAGATGTTGTCATGACACCTAAGGAAAAAGTCGACGACGAAGAATGTGATGATTTGACGGCGGACATTGAAATGGTTTCAATGGAGGATTCTGAGGAGGGAGGAGAAAAACGAAAGTCCGCCATTAAATTGAGCAAAACTGGTAAGCCTAGCGCACAAGCAGTGATGGCACTTTGCTATGTTGTGCTCATCGTTTGTGAACATTTTTTCAATAGTCTTGAACTGGCTGTGGTCGAATTCGATGCGAAGTTTGGATTCTTGTCCAAGCGAGTTGTTTGAACTGCTTCCTCTGGTAAGGCGTCGTGAGTACACCGTCGCCATAGTGAACGTTTCAGTTCAGTAAAGAGATGCTCTTGTTTATGTGATAGAAACGCTGTAAAGAATTTTATCTTAGATTGTTCCACTGGAGTCACAAGAGGATGATCAGGAGTTACAGGATCTTTGTTCCAATGTAATTGTCACGCTGTCTTCTATTGATTGTTGATGATAATTTTCATTTAAGTTTACATCATCGTTTTTCTTCACCAGGTTTTGTCGAATCTTTCGTATTGTCTCCTTTCGCCCGAAGCTCTTTCTAAAGCTGTCAGCACCATCACTAAGGTATGATCTTAACCAGCGCTGTTAAAACATCAGGGGCCGGTTGCACGAAAGCCCGGATAGCGTTATCTACTGGATAGCAAAAATCTTCAAACTTGTAAAAAAGGTGTTTATGTTGTTCTTACGACAAAGAAATTTCGTAGTGTTCGAAACAATATTTTCTTTCAGTGATTATTCAGTTCGAACCTTAGACTTCTTGCTTTTTAAAAGGTTTTATAAAAGCTTAAAAAAAGTTGCTATCCAATAGATTACGCTATCCAAGCTTCGTGCAACCTGCCCCAGTTTTTTTAGCATTTTTATGGTTAAAAATCTGCTATGAAGAAAGGATCTTTAAATAAAGGCTAGAAAATTATGAAGACGCATTGTTTTTGGTCACTGTCGTATACATGTTTAGCATATCTATTTTTGATGTGAAGCGATGATAACGAATTTTTGTAGTGATGAAATGAAAATCAGTTGATTCAATTATTAGTTGTGAGTACGAAGGAACACTTTTGTAAATTTGATCCTTCGTTGTTAACTTTTGTAAGAAAATGTGAAGTGATGAACGATCGATTTTCGTCAACCTTATCTTGTATAAGATATAAGATTTTATTTTGTCGCGAATTAAATTTATTGTTCGACATTTATATATGTACAATTGTACTTTTTTTTAAGTCTGATTATATGCGTATTCTGAACGTATTGTGAGTGAAAATTTATATTTGGCAAATGCTTTTTTCTCTACAAGCTGGTGTGCTCGGCGGGCAACGTTTACAAATTTTAAAATGATACATATTTTATATAGATTGCCGAAAGTCCATCTTGGCATTCTAGGAAGACGATTCTCACATTTCTTCAGGTAACTTTGTACATTCTTTTCCTTCAAACTTTGAAATGTTTTCTTTCAGTTAACTTACAGTCTTTTCCTCCAACCTTTAAACAGTTGTTCTTCAGTGAACGTACAGTCTCTTCCTCCAACCTTTGAAATTTTTTCTTTCATTTAACTTACATTCTTTTCCTCAAACCTTTAAAATGTTTTCTTTCAGTTAACTTACATTCTTTTCCTCCAACTTTTGAAATGTTTTCTTTCAGTTAACTTACATTCTTTTCCTCAAACCTTTAAAATGTTTTCTTTCAGTTAACTTACATTCTTTTCTTCCACCTTTTGAAATGTTTTCTTTCAGTTAACTTACATTCTTTTCCTCCAACTTTTGAAATGTTTTCTTTCAGTTAACTTACATTCTTTTCCTCAAACCTTTAAAATGTTTTCTTTCAGTTAACTTACATTCTTTTCCTCCAACCTTCAAACCTTTAAAATGTTTTCTTTCAGTTAATTCCTCCAACTTTTGAAATGTTTTCTTTCAGTTAACTTACATTCTTTTCCTCCAACCTTTAAAATGTTTTCTTTCATTTAACTTAACCTTTAAAATGTTTTCTTTCATTTAACTCCAACCTTTAAAATGTTTTTCTTTCAGTTAACTTACATTCTTTTCTCCAACCTTTAAAATGTTTCTTTCATTTAACTCCAACCTTTAAAATGTTTTCTTTCATTTAACTTACATTCTTTTTATCCAACCTTTAAAATGTTTTCTTTCAGTTAACTTACATTCTTTTCCTCCAACCTTTAAAATGTTTTCTTTCATTTAACTTACATTCTTTTTCTCCAACCTTTAAAATGTTTTCTTTCAGTCATTCTTTTCCTCAACCTTTAAAATATTTAACTAACCTTTAAAATGTTTTCTTTCAGTTAACTTACATTCTTTTCCTCCAACCTTTAAAATGTTTTCTTTCAGTTAACTTACATTCTTTTCCATTTTAAAATGTTTTCTTTCAGTTAACTTACATTCTTCCAACCTTTAAATGTTTTCAGTTAACTTACATTCTTTCCTCCAACTTTTGAAATGTTTTTTCAGTTAACTTACATTCTTTTCCTCCAACTTTTGAAATGTTTTCTTTCAGTTAACTTACATTCTTTTCCTCCAACCTTTGAAATGTTTTCTTTCAGTTAACTTACATTCTTTTCCAACCTATGAAATGTTTTCTTTCAGTTAACTTAACCTATGAAATTCAGTTAACTTACACAACCTTTGAAATGTTTTCTTTCATTTAACTTACAGTCTTTTTCTCCAACCTTTGAAATGTTTTCTTTCAGTTAACTTACATTCTTTTCTCCAACCTTTTGAAATGTTTTCTTTCAGTTAACTTACAGTCTTTTTCTCCAACCTTTAAACAGTTGTTCTTCAGTGAACGTACAGTCTCTTCCTCCAACCTTTGAAATGTTTTCTTTCAGTTAACTTTTACAGTCTTTTCCTCCAATCTTTAAACAGTTGTTCTTCAGTTAACTTACAGATACAACAGCATTGATCGTCATTCGTCGTTCATATATTTGACATGTTATGTTTGGTAAGCATTACATGTAATCATCGAATATTTCGTTTTAAAGGGTTTAGTTTGTGGTAACTTCTTCATGGTGATTGACGATTCAAATCACGTGACTTGCATTCGGAACATCGTCTTAAATTTGCTCACGGATCGACAACTCGAGGTTTGCTTCTTACGTATATATCAATTCATGTAATTTTTAACACTTTCCTTTCTCCCTAGGTTTTTATATTTTCTTTTTGGTCGTTATTAGTTTGTATGATTGAAAGCCAGACCGAGGCATTAATGATTTCATGTTTGTAAATGTTGATCGTTCAGGTTTGTGCATGCCTGTGAAGAAATGTTGATGTTAGTGTTAAAATGACCTTACGACATCTTTATCTTGATAAAGTAAATGGTTTGAACCCGGGAGTATCGTTACATGTTTGTAAATGTTGATCGTTCAGGTCTGCGCATGTCTGAGAAGAAATGTTGATGTTAGTGTTAAAATGACCTTACGACATCTTTATCTTAATAAAGTAAATGGTTTAAACCCGGGAGTATCGTTACATGTTTGTAAATGTAGATCGTCCAGGTTTGTGCAGGTCTGTGAAAAATGTTGATGTTAGTGTTAAAATGACCTTACGACATCTTTATCTTAATAAAGTAAATGGTTTAAACCGGGAGTATCGTTACATGTTTGTAAATGTTGATCGTTCAGGTCTGCGCATGTCTGAGAAGAAATGTTGATGTTAGTGTTAAAATGACCTTACGACATCTTTATCTTAATAAAGTAAATGGTTTGAACCCGGGAGTATCGTTACATGTTTGTAAATGTAGATCGTTCAGGTCTGCGCATGTCTGAGAAGAAATGTTGATTTTTGTGTTAAAATGACCTTACGACATCTTTATCTTAAGTTGATAAAGTTGCACGAACAAGGACGATCTACATCTACAAACATTAGACGTTTCTCCCGGTTTCAAACCATTCGCTTAATACGAATTTGTTTTCGATAAATTTATTAAACATCGTGATGACTCTTCAGCGAAATTCTGGTTTTGTTCGAGCGTGTACACTGTATGGTACGATTTCTAAAGTATTGAATGAAGTGCAACCATAAGAAATGTCTTTTTACAATGTGTTATTCGTGTGACGATGTGTTATTTATGTGACAATGTGTTATTTATGTGACGATGTGTTATTTATGTGACAATGTGTTATTTATGTGACAATGTGTTATTTATGTGACGATGTGTTATTTATGTGACGATGTGTTATTTATGTGACAATGTGTTATTTATGTGACGATGTGTTATTTATGTGACAATGTGTTATTTATGTGACAACGTGTTATTTATGTGACAATGTGTTATTTATGTGACATTGTGTTATTTATGTGACATTGTGTTATTTATGTGACAATGTGTTATTTATTTAGGTACGTGAAAGCGCCAGTCAAACTTTGAGCGGATTGATTCATTACGGATTTTTTCGAGTTGATAAAGATTTACAGGTATGTTTTTGTTCAATATGACTTGAAACATGAGCATTGTCTATTATAAAATTTCAACAATAAAACCCGTGTGCTGATTGGCGATAGTTACTTTATCTTGACCCGTAATACCTTCCTACGCAATCTTACTCATACTTAACTATACTTAGACCACCTTAGCTATACTTATACTACCTTAGCTATACTTACACCACCTTAGCTATACTTACACTACCTACATTAGTACTTACACTATCTTAGCTATACTTACATATTAGCTATACTTAGATCACCTTAGCTATACTTTACTACCTTAGCTATACTTAAACCAGCTATTTATCACCTTAGCTATACTTACACTACCTTATACTTTCACTTTGATACTTACATTACTATTCACTTTTATTTACATTGCTATGAAACATTAGCATACTTATATTTATATTTACACTTTATGATCTTAATACTGCTGCTTAGCCATATTTACCTTAGATACACATCACCTTCTATACTTACACTTTAGCTTTACTTAGCTATACTTACACCACCTTAGCTATACTTACACTACCTTAGCTATACACTCTATACCACTACTTAGCTATACTTACACCACCTTAGCTATACTTACACTACCTTAGCTATACTTACACCACCTTAGCTATACTTACACCACCTTAGCTATACTTACACTACCTTAGCTATACTTACACTACCTTAGCTATATTATACTTACACTACCTTAGCTATACACCTTTAGCTATACTTACACCTTAGCTATACTTACACCACCTTAGCTATACTTTCACTATCTTAGCAATACTTACACCACCTTAGCTATACACTTTAGCAATACTTACATACCTTAGCTATACTTACACCACCTTAGCTATACTTAGCATACTTACACCACCTTAGCTATACTTACACCACTTAGCAATACACTACCTTAGCTATACTTAGCTATACTTACACAGCTATACTCACTTACACCTTTAGCTACTTACCACACCTTAGCTATACTTACACTACCTTATACACCACCTTAGCATACTTACACTACCTTAGCTACTTACACCACCTTAGCTACTTACACCACCTTAGATATTAGCTATATACTTAGATAACACCACCTTAGCCATACTTACACACCTTAGCTATACTTACACCACCTTAGCTATACTTACACTACCTTAGCTATACTTACACCACCTTAGCTATACTTTCACTGCCTACACCACCTTAGCTATACTTACACCACCTTAGCAATACTTACACTACCTTAGCTATACTTACACCACCTTAGCTATACTTACACTACCTTAGCTATACTTACACCACCTTAGCTATACTTACACCACCTTAGCTATACTTAAACTACCTTAGCTATACTTACACCTCCTTAGCTATACTTAAACTACCTTAGCTATACCTAGACCACCTTAGTTATACTTAGAGCACTTTAGCTATACTTAGGTCTCGCGTAGGAAGGTATTACGTGTGTTTCTTTAAAACTACATAATGATGCACTTCTGAAAGGGTTAGATAAAGTATCTACCGATTGGTCTAAAGCTGAGTTTGCAATTGTTTGGGGTTTTTGTTGTTTTTTATAAAATGCATGTTCCGATAGATCTATAGCTGAGTTTAAAAGAAATAAAGATGTTTTTCGTGTTTGCACTGGCTTATGTAAACCTCAGAGACATTTTGTAAGAACTCTCGATCTTCGATCTTGGGCTTGCACTGTTCTTCTCTCGAGCTCTCCCAAATACAGTGAACATCTTTTATTTCTTATATCGTCATGTATTATTTGTGCAATATGTTCGTTCCATCTTTAGAAAAAATTTGCCGAACTGGCGGCCACGAAACTGCCGAAGAAAGAAAGCGAAACATAGAGATTAGCCAAGCGGGTGAGATTGTCATCTTTTTTCAATTGCTTTTGGTCATGTTTCTTGTGTACTGAGGAATGTTGATATGCTGTTGAGTTGGGCACGACGTAAATGTCATGTCAATCGAAAATTCAATACGCTTATTACTCATATTGTAGATACGTCATCAGTAGATACGTCATCAGTAGATACGTCATCAGTAGATATGTCATCACCGTATGTTCTACGACATGCAGGCGTTCTTGGTCTCTAGTTGTGTGAAAGCCTTCCCTTACGACGTTCCAGATTGGATGCCACAAATGTTGGTGGAGATAGGGAAACATTTACATGATCCTAATCCTATCCAGGTATGTTGATAATCCTAATCCTAACCAATTTTTCTTTTGTATCTATAATTCATTTTTGGTTGGCTTCGACAGTGTTATAACGTTTTTGGTATGGTATGACATGTTTTCACCGCGCTGAAGTATTTTTGACGTGAGTGATATATTTGTGGACATTCATAAAACATTCCAGTATACACTATACTTCTTGTTCACTATTGTCAGTGAAAATTCCCCCAGAAACGTTTGTCTCAAAGTGTCATAAACTTACTTGCAATATGTACGATTTCTTGACGTTATGATTTGCAAATTAGTGTTAAATCGACTAATCGAGTTTTGGAAGACTGTAGAAAATTTGCGAACAGTCACAAACATTTGTGTTGTATGCAACTATTGTCTGATTATTGTCAGGATTCAAGGGACATAAAACAATTGATTTCGAAGGAACTTAATACCGCAGAACATTTATCATTAATAATTATCGACTTAACCACGCGACTACTTTGAAGCAGAAAACTAAAGTAAAGAGCGAATTCTGAATATACATGACATCTTTAGATTGCAAAATATGAATCAATACAAGACGCAATACAGGACTGTTTAAGCGTTGTCTGAATCTGTCATAGGCAACTGTTGTTGCAGTCAACTGTTGTCCGAGTCTGTTACAGGAGACTGTGTCCGAGTCTGTTAGAAGAAACGACTTTGTTGGAGTCTGAAGACTGAAGTTCTTCCCGACTTTGGCTTTGATTTAGACTTCTAAAAAGCAATTGTAAAAGAAGAAGTATTGTTTTACTTTGTTGCAGGCAACTGTAAAGAAAGTATTGTCTGACTTTCGACGAACTCATCACGATAATTGGACGGCACACAAACAACAATTCAGCGAGGAACAACTTTTGATATTTACAGATTTACTGGTGTCGCCATGTTATTATGCTTGAAGCTTTCGTGAAGGTTGAATAAGAACGACAACTACGGCGATATCATAGATGAAGGTAAATGGAGCTTTATGGCTCATGGTAAAACGACCAAAATCGTTGCTTGCATTTCAAACCTCAAGAAGGAGGGAATATTTTTTACATAATGGAAAAATCACACTGCACATGAAAGTGATGAACTTGCAATGTTGTACAATGGTACACAGCCAAAGACAAATTATTTTCAGGTAAAATGGTCTCTCTGCACATAGCTAAGTGCGTTCATGTGTCAAAAGAACGTATTTTATGTATAAAAAGGAAATGAACTGGCAATTTTCACAATTTTTTGACATAAAAAAAAATGCACGCAAAGTAAAAAATGAACACTTTTTTAAGTCTTCTGCACCCACATTTCATTTAGATTTCTGAAATCCAATAAAGTGATTGGCATTTGCAAACAAAAGCTAATTAAATATCGAGTCTGACACAAATAAATGTAATTGAAGTTTTTATGTTCAATGTGGCATAGAATTCTGAAAGCTGGTTTTCAAAATCATATTTTGGGATTTCGTGAGTTGTAATCTGATATCCAAAAGCTGGGATACACAGTTGAGATGATGGATTGGGGAAACCAAACAGCAGGAGACATTAATCTTAAGCAGAGATGTATATTGTGTGAATTTCTAATTCACAAAATCTAATCCATGATCCTCTAGCTGGAATCTTGAATGAAACATTTTGATCCAAAATCCATGAAAAGGAATCCAGGTTCCACATACTAAGATCTGGAATCCGGGAGCTGATATTCGGTTATCAGGAATTAAATCTTATTTTGCATTAAATGTTTATGGTGACGAGGAAATTGTCAGCTTAGAAAGGTTTTAGTGAATTTGATGAGGCAGTGTATGTTGTGGAAATAATTTAATTCTTGAATTATGTAGTTTGTTCAGGTGTGGCATTACAAATAAGCAAATGGGAGTGATACAATATAGCAATGGCATTACTTTGCTTATTTCAACAAAAATATATTCTATATTTTTGTAAGTCACAACTATATATATTCACAATATCATTTACAAAATGCTCTTTTCTACAAGTTCAGACTTTTCTTCACAAGATTTCTTGCAATATTATTAAATTCTTCACGGTTTTCACGCCATACTTTCTAAATGAAAACAAATATTTACAAGTTGAGATGAAAAAACAATACATAACATAAAAGACATGCATTTCTATAATGGTTTGAGTGACATAAATTTTAATACCGAAGCATCAACGTTTGCCCCACTTTCATCATTTGGCTCTATATGAGTTTTAAAAGAACAATGGAGTAAGATAAAATGTTTATTTATTTGTAAGTTTTCCAACAAAACTTTATCCTTGAGAAAAATCCTGCAAAGAATCCTAAGAAGACCATATCCAAGATAAAGTTTAATTGTTGGATGTTACGGATGAGAAATTTTACTGGGTTTAGAACATAGAAAAGCAAAATAGCAAAATTAAATAAAATGTTCGATCATCAATACTCAACAAGCAATAGTTCAGATTTTACATCCAAAACTTAGTTCCTTGAAACTTCAGTTTCCAATGAAAGCAGGAAGGGGGAATTTTTCTTTGAAGCAATTTTTCACCTGCTAACATGCTCACAACAGATAATAGAATCTTCTCCACGGATTGTACAGGACTCCATCTTTCTGCACTTGTTTCGTAACCCATAGGATCATCACCAGGTGCATGAAGTATGGAGATGCAGACTCTGCCATCAGGGTAAACTATGAAAGCAAGTATTTCATTCTTCAGACCTTTAGAGAGTTTTATCTCCGTATTCCAAAAGCTGCTCGCACTCATTGAGTTCAACATGAAAACCACACTCTGCCTACTTCCTGGTAAAGTCGTTTCTTCATCTATGGCAAGATTGTCTCATAGATATTTCATATCAAGGAATCAGTTGAGTGAAATTTCAGTCTTTTGATAATGTAGTGATTTTGAACCCCCTATCACAGAGTGTGAATAAGCTTTGAATAAGCATTTACATTGCCAGAACTTTTAACAAAAATGACTTACCATTTGGATGAAACATGTCTGATGTAAACTTCATTTTAGGTGGACTAAGTGGATAGTCGGTTGGAAAGGTCATTTTTGCTGTAAATACTCCATCTTCAAAGGGTGTTCCTACAGGTCCCCTGCAGAGAAATTCACGAAAGGAGAACAATTTTCGATAAAAGGTACTGTTAATTAGAGGTGAGTTGAGATTTTCAGGACTTACATAATCAAGGCTTCCCATTCGAAGAAATTCTCTTCGCTAACCGGTCCTAAATAGTCGATGGAATTACATAAACTATGTACAAAGTTTCAAATGTGAGAGTGATGACTCGACACATAATTTTTTGCATGTCAATGCTTCATAGAAACTGTACCTGCAATTATGCCTTCCGGTGGATTTAAAGTCAATTCTAAAATAAAAAAAGCATATATAATATCAAGACTCGTCAACATCTGATTTGATCCTATTGACGATGTTCAGCAGCACAATGAGAAAGATTTGCAGTTTACAACAAATATATCGAACGTACGTTTATACTCTGCCATTAGGCGTTTGAGAGCGGCTCCGGCCATGTTCACGCACCTTTCGTTAAAAGATATGAATATCAGATCATGATTTGAAAGCAAAGTTTTTCATTGAATTCTTTCTATTGAAAATCTACTTTCAAAAGTGAAAACGTAAACAACCCTTGTGGCCACCCGCCACCTCTATGATCATTGGTGGATCTTCCTTGTTCATTATTACCCCTTATGGACCCCTATTGCTGCCGAGCAAACAAGCCTGGAGCGAGAAAGCGAGGCAGCTGCCTAATATTTACAGATTGACCTTTTTTTCTCATTCTCGCGAAGCAGTCGGGTTTCGGAATGTTTTGAAAATAAACATTCAAAATAATTCAGGATTGTTTTTGACTGGTTACAGTAAGATCCTTTCACAATTTTGTTTCATGTTGTGACCAGGGATATACCGGCGGAAAGCAAATTCTTAATATAAATATCAAAGCCCAGCAAAGTGCTTTTAAAAGAGCCATTTAATACAAAAATAACATATAAAAAGAAATATTTATTTAGAAGCATAACGTTTCGTCTTGACTCTCAAGACATCATCGGACAGTATTAAATTACAAGTATAGAGGGATATATAAATAATAACTATTTACATAATATTAAATTACATGGTGGGATGAAAACATAGTAAATATGGGATAAGATGGTATGACGTGGGATAAGTAGAAATCACGAAAGAAACAAAAACAAACAATCATAAAGTATACAGACATGAGGACGGACGAAATTAGATTAAAGCAACTGAAGGACAATGGAGTTTCCTTGGACGTCAAGAGATGGTTTCATTTTGTTGATTAAGAGGCATTTGTGAATAAGAAGCTCTTGCAAGTCTGAGCATGAAGAAAGTATTTTAAAATCCTCGAAGGTGGCGGTGTGTCCTGTGGATTTAAGGTGTGATGGTATGGAGGAATGACTGGGATGTTTAGAAGGTTTACCAGTCAAAGGGGTGATGCCCAAATGCTCTGAAATTCGAGTGTGGAGGTGGCAGGTGGTTTGACCCACGTACGATGCAGAGCATTATCGACACTTGACAGAATAGACAACATTCGATTTCAGAGTTGTGGGCACTTTGTCCTTGAAAGAAAACAGGCTGGAGAGGCGTTTGGTGGATCGAAAGAAGAATCGTATTTCACAGTGTGGGAAAGCGGCACAACAAAGGCGATTTATCTGTGTTTGGATTTGGGATGAGTGTAAACCAGTAAATGGAAGGCCAAAATACAGTATTTTCTTGGATACGGTATGAACAGGTGGCTTGGTTGAAAGACTTTGTCAAGAAACATTTTTACACAGGGATCAAATATGTGACAGGGAAATTAATTGGAAATAAATAATCTGCGTGCTTTTTCGATTTCAGTATGGAAGTTTTCATAAGTGTATCAAATATTAAAAAGGCTATGAACTAAACATAATATTAAACTGCGTTTATATGTTAGTGGGATGAAGCTGTGGAAATTAGTAAAAGACCAGTGAACGTAGGTTTTCTGTATATGGACGTGAAGAACTTTCCATTAGAGCGATGAATAGTGATGTCAAGAAATGGAAGTTTTCCATTGTGTTCCATTTCACTCGTAAACTTAATATCGGGGTGTTTGTGGTTTAAATAGGTAAGAAAAGGTTGTACATCGTCAGCAGTACGAAAAAAGAGAAAACAATCATCAACGTATCTTCTATAAAGCAAGGGTTTAAAGTGAGAGGGGCAATTTTTGAGCCATATTTGTTTCATGTTGTTGATTTTTTACTCGTTCATTTGAAAATGCCATTGATTGAGCTCAAGTCTCTGTTTGTCTCTGTAATTTTCGTTAAAGGAGTGGGTTTAATTATGATTTTTCCACAACTTAACCATGTATGTAGTCTGCGGCAACCATGTGAGGTCTCTCAACTTTGTCTTCATATTCAAGTTATACATGATATGATTTGTACCAGATAATGGTTTCTTATTAAAACGCGTGAAGAAATAAGGTTAATGGAATATCTGTAATTTATTACCATTGGAAATGTTAGGCTCAGAAAAAATCTGTTGTTGAGGTTGCATTTCTCCTCGAGTTCAAGCCCCAACTGCAATTGGTTTTTCCGGAATATATTTTATAATGAAAAAAAATGAGCTTCACAGCATCTGTGATTTCTTACAGCCATCTCTGCCACAATTAACCTATTCATTGTTTTTGTGATCAAGAAAAATGGACCAGGAAACAATCACAGCATGGAACTTAGTCAATTCTGCACAACCTCACAATTTACTCCACCCCACTTAATCAAGATCCAAAGAGCTCCCAAGCTGTAGACCTGCAAATATCTTTTCCTTGCGTCTTCTTTATTAAAATTAGGCGCAAGTTTCTGCAAATTATGACCGTGCGAGGAAATTCAATTACTTTCACAATTACACATGTATTTTAAAACTCATGGTCAATCAATGACAGCGATTTAGTCGGCCAACACTGCAATCAATCATTTTGATTTTGATTTTGGGAGGAAAGTTCCCATTGCTTCCTTTGCTGTTGGTGGAAAATTAAAGTTCTGTCGTTATCTCAATGCCGTAGAAGGCATTTTCCAAACATGTTTTAACTGAAAGCCATAAGTAATAAAGGGTATGATTTCAATGTTGTTGGTTGTTTTATATCTCTTTCCATTAAGAAAAAGGTAAAATATGCCCAAAAACTGTTAGTATTCGTTGTTGAGCTTCTGGCTCAACGGGCTTTGACTGACCTCCAATGCACGAGGTTCTTGGTTCGTCCCTGTGTCGGTGCTGGTATGGGTTGTAGCTTGAGGATTGAGTGCAAGGTTGAGGTTAGGAGAGAGTTAAAGAGCGATCTGTTTGCTCTGAGGTTCTTGACTATTAAAAATATGACTCCCTAACTTCTAGGGAGTCATAGAAAAATTTGATCAAAAGACTTAGTTTTTTTCGGCCAAAAAATTTTGTGGGTATCCCTAATTTTTTTCGATTTTTTTTCTAAGTGTCGCATTCCATTCTCGAAAAATTCAACAAGAGAAATGCCAATTGCGCACTTTGTGCACAACATTACCATCCTCAACTGTTCCGACTTCATCACTCTCACACTTACGGCCTTTGTTCGTTGCAAGTCTAGTGTCTATCACACCATGCCCAACATCAACTGACCCTCGAAGGATTCGAACCTCACACCTCAACCTGTGAAACCTGTCTCACAACCACTCGACCACGCAGATCGACGAAGACATAGCGAAAATTTATTGTATTTAGGATAGTGTGTTTTCAGTAGCTAATAAAACCAGTATAAACATTCTGAAGAACATTTAGTTTCAAGAAATAATTGTTTTTGGTGAAGTTTGTATTAACAGTTTCTAGCTATGGGATCTTTTCTCATTCTGCAGTATCCGAAGCATTTAACGAATTTGGTGGAACATTTCATAACAGCAGTTAGCTTTTGCAACCAATTTTTGTTTATGTACACTTAAATTTAAACTTTCCCAAATAGCAATTGTAATAATTCTGATCGTCTTAAGAATATTTCAAAAAACTTGAAGAATGAAGACAGTAAACTTCTTGCTTGGTGTCGTTTGTAACAAATAACAACTTTTCTAAACGTAAGGAGCATCTTCTTAACGATGTCATCACTTTAGTCAGCTGCTTCGTCGTGATCTAATGCATCATAACGCGTCACAGAGGTTAACTTCTTGCTCGTTTATCCGTATTGTGTAGAAATGGCGTAAATAGTTTACAAATCATACCGAAGTAAAACTGGAGAAGTATACGACAACTTTACTTTCTTTCGACTGCAAAATTTCTTTGTAGACTTTTGATCACTTCTCGATGACAGCTTGTTGCTGTATCTCTATGAATGGTGTTATGTATGTGCATACATATTGTTCCACATGATTGTTCAACATTTATTATTCGTACTTGAACAAATTCCCGGACATATTAAATCTATTCTTAAAAACAATAGGTAGTGTTAGTAAACAAATGAACAATGCTCTCCCTTCATTAAATACTTAAAATGCAAGCGAAAGTGACCATTGTTCCATGGTATTACAAAAATCATCAAGCAATAAAATTTATTCAACCCATCAAATAAAGCAAGCGTTATTTTGTTTGCTTAAAATCAAATAAGCGTTAAGATGTTGTTTACTTCAAGTTTTGCCATTTATTGTTGCCGTTGAGGAAACGTTTTGGAAACGAGTGTCGCTATATGAAGTTGAATATAATTATTCATAGCTAGAAAGGGTGATTATTACAAACAATTACGGCGGAATAAATATAAAGTTACATATGGTCACGTGCGTTTGGTGAACAACGAGCAACGTAAATTCTTTGATCATGTTCACATCATGTTTGTGGTGTAAGCAAACGATCAGATACGAAGGTCAATTATGACATATCTTACCATGGCTTTCCAAATACACAAACTGTGAGTTTGAAGCATTGAGATGTTGGTGACTTAATATTTTGGCACTTTTTATCAGCGTTAAGTCGTGTTGGAAACGATTGTTTATCATGAATTTGAAGATGGTTATTGAAAGTTAGAAATTGTGGAATAGTACGAACACTGCCGGCTTCGTGAAAGTAGCTACAAATGATCCTGTGCGTTTAGTGGACAACGGGCAACATAAATTCATTGATCATTTGTAAATCATGTTTTTTGTGTAAACAGACGATCAGATGCGAAGGTCAATTGTGAGATATCTTACAATGGATTTCTAAATACACTTTTTTGTATATAGAAATTCATGGTAAGAAAAAGTCAAATAAAAAGATATATTTTACTTTCTCATCGTGTTGTTAGTAGAATAAAATAAAATGTAGAGGGTTTCTTTATAATGCAATGTAGACTTATACCATATGTGTATATGTTTTATGTTTCTTACATGAAGTATCCTGGGTTTCTTGTATTGTGACTTGACAAAAAATATGTAAAAAGTTCCAAATTTTGTTATGCATCATCGACCAGCAGCAAAAGTATGGTGGCATCCATCTGTGCCTTCTCCGCTAGACGTCCCGGTTCGAAGCCTGCCCGTTACCTTGAAAGATGCAACGCTTAACCACATCCACAAATATCAGTGTGCAAGTCTTAACGATAGTTGATGATGGTGAATGATAGAGGGTAGTGATGAAGAGAGTAAATGGAAAGATGTGAAGACGAGAGATAATAGTGGCATGTGA